TACCCTACAACTTAAAGTATAATAATAATAAATAAATTTTTTAAAAAAATAAAAAATAAAAAATAAAAAAATAAAAAAAAAAGAAAGTGACACTAACTGGCCCCTATGGGTGGTCAAGAGGCTTTAACCTATCCTATTCCATCTACTATATTTATTAAAATCCAACATTTTGTAAATGTAGTAGTTATAACCAAAATGCATGGCAATTTGATTTTCAGGGTTCTCCACAGATATATGTGAAATTGACAATTGCATGATTGTATCCTGCTAAATCTAAATCACCCTCTTACATTAGAGAGCCAAACCAATCTTTCTTTGGCTCTTGTTCCTTTTACACTTAAACTCACTCAAACCAGTGATATGTTTTCTCTTGCCATTTCAGGGAGATTCTATGTATATATACTGGCAGCTTCAGTGACCATAAAGCAATAAACTACAATGCAGAAGTCAATCTGTGTTTAAGAAAAAGCCTAAATATTGGATTTTGCAAAATACAGTTGTTTTTCTGGGTGTAAAGATTAGAAATTCACAATTAGGTCCTTTGCTCCTGAGAAGTCTTTTTTTTTTTTTTTAACTATTTTGTTTATAGTTCAGTTGTTCCTGACATTTAACAGAAAAAATAAAAATGTTAAGGACTGAAACCAATCACCAATCAATAGCTCACACAGCAGCCTGATATGGCAGCTTCAGTGCTGCGTCTGCTGACTTCCTTGTTATCAACTGAAACATTCACCCCACAGCAGAGTCTGCATTCAACTTCTCACTCCAAAGCCATACACCATTCTGCCCAACAAAAGGCATAAATCGGCTGAGTCCCTTGAGTCATGACTAATTTTTTAAAATGTTGCAGCAACTTCATATCTAGAGTCTCAATAAATGCAGTGGTTGGCTCAGCCTCAAAGAACCTGAATGTGTCTGATTTAGAGTGGAAGTCTTAATGCTCGAAAAGTATGCCTGACACAGTCTCTAAACTGGCAGCCTGACGGCCTCACACAACACAGATGGTCAGTCAAAAAAGTCTACATTAGAATAAGAAACTGTCCAACAAGGTCAAGCACGAAAATTGGGCTAGCAGTCTTTCATCTACTCTTACAGGAATACTGGTCACACAAAATGTGTGGGAGGCATATCGAAATCCAATATGGATTCTATTTTTGTTTTGGAAAACATGCTTGCCCACCCCAAACTGATACAAGGTTGGGAATGTTGGGTTTTTCCTTAGTATTAGAAAACAAATTAATGGCAACTGTTGCTCCCTTCTGAGCTACCAAAGGGCAACTGGTACATTCTCTCTGGGCATTATCTGTAAGAATCTGCTCACAGGTTTATCTCCCTTAAGACTGGCAACTCTTTCTCTGATATTCTAAAGCAGTCTCTAGCAACGAAAAATAACTTACAAATCTTTTCTACCAATGTGCTGTGCTGAATGAAACTGCCTTGCTCATTCTTGCCACTCTATCACCACTCTTTTGAACCAGTAGTTTGGGTACTGCTCCCACCAATGAAAATCTGAGGAATTTTCACATTAACTGGAAAACTATGGTTTAGACTTTTGTCTTCAAAAAAGTTTCATTTTTTAGAAGGAAATTGCTAATGTGAATCCAATAGAGAAAAATGGTTACTGGTTTGAGAAACAGTAAAAACACGTTAATTCACTCAAAAAAAGTAGGTGACCAATTACTCAAAAAACAACGTTCCTATTTCCATAAATAAATTCCCAGGTTCGTCTGTTTCAGTTTTCTTATTCTAAAGAAAAAAAAAAAAGCATAACAGAACCAATTAAGTCAAAAGTGAGGATAAGAATTGGCCCTGAGTGCCTCAGCAAGGTGACATTAGCCCTTTAATGGACAGCTAAGGCTTTCAAGTCATTCCAGTAAAAAATTCCCATAAACCAGGATGCTACGTTATCTGAGCTTAGGAATTGTAAACATCTTAACAACAAGAGCAAACACCAACAGTGCTTATTACGTGGCTAGAACTTTTCAAACTGTAATTTCATTTAATCCTTATAACATATCAATGAAATAAGTGCTATCATTATTCCCACTGTACAGATGAGGAAGCTGAGCCACAGAGAGAACAAACAAATTGCCCAAAGTTAAGCAGCTGGTAAAGGCAGAACCATGACTCAAAGCCAAGCACTCTGGCTGCACAGTCTCTCTATGGAACCACGGTGCTTTGCTGCCTCCCCTGTTGTCCTCTATGTACACCAGATGACAAGTAGGGAATCCACATGTACATATGTAGAATACTCCATCAGAAAAGCTCATTTTGTTATGAAATAAATTCCAGGCCTACCTAAACAGAAAACATACTCCAAATAAACTAAAGCAAACCTATGTTTTCAAGATGGTAGACTTACCAAGCACATTTACCTCCCTTCATTTCTCAAATACCATTGATGATGGAAAACTTTTTTTAAAAAAAGAATAAAGCAGAATGGTACAAGACAACAGGCAAAAATAATATCAGAAATGAATCAATGGAGAAAATAGAGCAGAGTAATTATAACAAAAGACAGATATAAAAGAGGTTTCCTATAGAAATAGGAACTATCCTTCCCAACGAAACAAAGTATCACAGAAACGCAAATCTAAAAGTTATATGAATTGAGTTTCTGGGATGATTTTCTAAGTCATTTCTTCTTTCTTTCTTTCATTTTTTTTGAGCGGGGGGCAAGGCGGGGGAGACAGGGTCTTACTCTGTTGCCCAGGCTGGAGTACAGTTGGTGTAAACATAGCTTACTATAGCCTCAACCTTCTGGGCTCAAAAGATCCTCCCACCTTGGCCTCCCAAAGCACTGGGATTAGAGGCATGAGCCAACACGCCTGGCCACCTAGGTGATCTGTTAGAAGATGGCCTATAGCACTAGCACCTAAGAACAGTTCTCTCAATAGGAAGTCATCCTAAGCATAGGCCTTGGGGCCAGAAAGAGAAGCAGGGTACAGTGTATACCTGGGCCTTTCCAACAAACACAAATTAAAACAAAAATAGCAAAGGCACCACTACCCAGGACTAAAATACTGTCAAGTGCCTCATCCCTGCAACAACCCCAGTTTCCTCACTCGCACCCTCCGCCCGGTTGTGAGCATGCCCAGCCCCACAGAACCGTGCACAGCCCTCAGGGAGCCCTACCGATCAGGGAAGAGGCCTACTGCTGAAACAGTATTACAACACTTTTGAGGAAACCCATGTAATTAACCTAATCCTGATTTATACATGTAACCATATATTTCTAAACACGAACAGATCATCAACGATCAAAACAATGTAAAATGCAAATAAATAAGATGAATGGAAACAACTCAAGGCTAACAGAAAAATTTGACAATGGAATTATATCAAATTCTCAGTTATCTCTACCACTGGAGGATTTAAGGTACAAGAACACTCAAAACTATTTGTAGCTGGCACTAAAAATGTTTTCTGATTTTTACTATAGTAAATTTATCACCTAAAGAAAATGCTACATAGTGATATTAAACATGAACTTTCATTCTCTAAGGATGTGTGACGGAGACCTATACTATGGCTCCAGCTCCAAGTTCAATATTTTATGCAGCCCTGGGCAAATTACCACTTTCTGTCTTAATTTTCCAATCCATTAAATGGGACAATATTGGGGAACAGATGGAATCCAGCCTTGGCTGGAGAGTTTGCCATGGACAGTACTAGCTCTGGTCATACTTCTATAATTCCTAAGATAGGTCAATTTACAGTCAATAGTTGTGACTACTTTGTAAAGTTAAGAATAATAGGTTTATCCTCTTCAGGAGAAATTGAGAATAAGGTCTCTGCTTTTGTCAACTGATTCAAAAGAACACACTCTGAATTCTGTAGAGTCTAGAGTAAGCATCGCTGCATAAACACTGCTAGGAATTGATCTGTTAAATCCGGAAACCAAGGAAACACAGCAATTGAGTCACTTCAGGTACTGCTCACCAAGGGACCAATGCACATACAGCTTCGAACAGTCAGATTTGTATCAGAGACTGAATTCCTTGGCAATCAAGTGGAGGTGCTTACTAAATATATACTCATTAAACAACCACCACATTCCAAGTGTGGACCAAGCAACCCACTGTACTAACAAGTCCAAGGCTTACTCAAAAGGAACAAAAACTGGTCAAACACATTCGCGGTCACTGGTACAATGGTAACAGTGGACAGTCACTGCTAAAGTAGAATGACATGATATCAAGTATGTTAAGACAATATGCACACAAATCATGTCATATAAGAAAATGTTCCACAGTGCTTGTCAAGTTGAGGTTTTAATAGAAATCTTCTTAATTATTAAATTCTTTGTTGAAAAATGCTTTCCATTAAAAGAAATGAGAGAGATAGCAACCAAATAGCTGGACCTTAAATTCTGATTCAAATAAATTAATCATAAAAATTAAATTTATAAAACAAAACTAAAGTGGTAGTGCTTATCTTTTAGAAATACATATTAAAGTAGTTGGGTGCCGGTGGCTCACGCCTGTAATCCCAGCACTTTGGGAGGCCAAGGCAGATAGATCACCTGAGGTCAGAAGTTTGAGACCAGCCTGGCTAACATGGTGAAACACCAGCTCTACTAAAAACACAAAAATTAGCTAGGTGTGGTGGCACACACCTTTAATCCCAGCTACTCAGGAGGCTGAGGCACAAGAATCACTTGAACCCAGGAGGCAGAGGTTGCAGTGAGCCAATATCAGGCCATTGCACTCCAGCCTGGGTGACAGAGTGAAACTGTCTCCAAAAAAAACACAAAATACTACTAAAGTGTTTGCTGATGAAATGATACAATGTCTATGATTCATATTAAAATAATATGGGAAGTTGATAGTGGTATAGACGAAAGAAGCCTGTCCATGTGTTGGTAACTGTTGAAGATGGGGGCTGGGCACATAGGGGCTAATTATACTACTTTTTCTGCTTTTATGTATAGTTAAGGTTTTCATAATGAAAAAAATGCTTTAAATACACAAATCAAATCAAAGGTGACTTATTCTTACCTGTATTAGAATCTTTTATTACAATGTCGGAGATTTCAAACAGTTTCAGAGGAAGGGGCATCTTACGATTTGCTGCTATGGTCTTCAGGAGGCCAGGAAGAAGGGTAGTGCGTGCCACCTACAGGAAAAGACATGAAATTGCACTGACCAAATACGACCCAAACAAACAAACTTGGTGAAAGACAAAGACTATGGCAGAAAGACTATGGCTTCATAGGAAGACACTTCTGGAAAATGCATTGCCCTAAAATATCGAAGTCACTTTCAATTTTCAACTCCAGGACACTGCAATTGAACTGAAAAGAACTGAAAACATTCCGGCTTCCAAATTTACAAAATAAAAAATCATAGTTGTGATTAAAAAATAAATGAGAAACAAATATAACCTAAATATGTTTGCTCATATCTAAGGCATGATTATTTTATTCATTATCATTCATGATTTCATTTTTCCTTTTTTTAGAGACACAGTCTCACTCTTTCACACAGGGTGGAGTGCAGTGGGCACAATCATAGCTCACTGCAGCCTCAAATGCCTCAAACCGCTATAGCAGGAGGCAAATGCCTCCTGCCTCAGCCTCCCAAGTAGCTGGAACTACAGGTACGTATCACTGCACCCAGCTAATTGATTATCATCTCAAAAACTAAAGTTTGCTTTCAAGATTTCAAATGCATGTATGCAAGTTTTCATATCCTCCCTCATTTCACAAAGTAATTGAAATAGACTAAAAGAAATACAAATGTTTAAGTAGATTAAATATAGGTCAGGCACCGTGGCTCATGCCTGTAATCCTAAAGCTTTGGGAGGCCAAGGTAGGAGGAACACTTGAGGCTAGCAGTTTGAGACCAGCATGGGCAACATAGCAAAACACCACCTCCACAAATTTAACAATTAGCTGGGTATGGATACATGCCTTCAGTTTCAGCTACTCAGGAGGCTGAGGTGGAGAATTGCCTGAGCCCAGGAGTTCAAGGTTACAATAAACTATAATCATACCACTGCACTCCAGCCTAGGCAACAGAGACCCTGTCTCTAAACAAATAAATAAATACAACCATAAATAGATTAAATATGAATTACTCAAAATTAGGACCAGGAAAAATGTAAATGCAATTAAAACACCACCACAGTGAGGAAAACAGAACACAAATACGTAGGTGCTAAAAATATATACAGCTGCTATGGATAGGCTGTAACTACAGTTCTCAACTCTTCATTAACTAAAGCAAATGTGAAAGTATGTACAGTCATTTCATTCCTACTGTTCCTAAGAAATGCATACCCTGGTACATCTGAAAAAAGCAAAACTTTCCTGCTTTGTCTGCAAAATAAATTTCTCCCTGTGAGCTATATGGAATATATTAGCTTCCAACACATGTTACCAGAAGGGTTTTATAAGCAGTGGTATAACATTATTGTGAGAGTCTGGGCTCTGCAGTCATACACCAAGCACTATTATCTTTTCCCTAGACGATTGCATAACGTTCTTCTGTGCTTCCACTCCTGCCACCTTGTGGCCTATTCTCCATACAGAGCGGTCCTTTAAGACAGAAATCAGATCATGCAACTCCCCTGGTCAAAAATCTCCAAGAAGTTTCCATTAAATTTTGAATAAAATTCATGGCCTACCTGGGGCCGTGTGATGTGCCCTGCCTCCCTCTCTACCCTCAAGTCCTGCTGCTCCCACAGGCTTACTGCACTCCAGCCATACTGGAGGCCACACTGGTCAGCAAGTAGATTTCCATCCTGAGGCCTCCACGCTTACTCTGCTCATACATTCTTCCTTTAGGTTCACATGTGGCTTCCTTCCTTCCTTCAAGGGTCTGCTCAAATGTTCTCTCCTACAGAGGTTTGCCCTGAACACCCAAGCTAAAACATAGACCTTCTTAGATCCTGCACAAGTAACCATAAGACCCTAAATGGAATTGCTAGACTGTGTTTTGAAGGAAAAAGAGAACGTCTTTCCCATCACACTCACTATACCAACAAGCTGCTATTCGCCTTCAACGTGGTGCTTCTTAAATATTGTTCGTTTTCCCCATTGGAGGGCAAGTGCCCAAACCATTCACAGAAACGAAACTACAATATTAAAAGTTAAAAGGAAATTTAACTTATTGAAATACAATAAACAAACTACCGATATAGAAAACTTTTCTTAATTTTACAGTGTATTTTATAGATATGCCTTATTTGCATATTTAAAAACCTACAGAAATACAAAAAATTACACCTGAATCTGATCAAGCTTCTATATCCAACTACCAATTTACTGGAAACTTAGGGAGCCATTAGAACATATTCAGCAAAATCCTAAATGTAATAATTCTGTAGGACAAATGACTCAGTTTCTTCAATAAACAAACTGAAAGGAAAAGAAAGATGGAAGGATGAGAGGCACAACTTGTAGATTAACAGAGACATGAAAAGCATATAAATCAATGTCAATGTATGAACCACATTTGAATACCAACTCAAACTGTTAAAAAAAAAATTGATAGGAAGCTGAGATGGGCGGATCACGAGGTCAGGAGATCGAGACCATCCTGTCCAACATGGTGAAACCCTGTCTCTACTAAAAACACAAAAATTAGCTGGGGGTGGTGGCCCATGCCTGTAGTCCCAGCTACTCGGGAAGCTGAGGCAGGAGAATCGTTTGAACCCAGGAGGCGGAGGTTGCAGCAAGTCAAGATTGCGCCACTGCACTCCAGCCTGGCAACAGAGTGAGACTCTATCTCAAAAAAAAAAAAAAAAAATTGACAATTGGGAAAACTGAAACAATGACTGGATATGTGAGGTGATTAAGGAATATTACTGTTAATTTGGAAGGGGTGCGGTAATATTCTGTAAGTTTGTTTATTGTCACTATAATAAAATTTTACATATTTTAGCCAAGTTGCATTTTTATCTTGTCCATTCTCTAACATATTTACTATCAGAAAAGAGCCCAAAGTTAAGAATTATGCAGGAGAAAGAATGGATTTAGACAAGAAACTGAGTTATAGGCCCATGAAGAATTTTACATTTAACCTAATCATAAATAAATATAAACCTCTTAGCCAAATTAGTAGTAGTAGGACTCACCTATTGGTAAAGCAAGGTAAAATATAGAATCTGTTAGGTCAAAAGACAGGCACTCTCTTTCATCTTTAAGGTACTTTACGCAGAAAGATTGATTCCTAAGTGTGCTAAGCCACAGCTATTTATAGTGACATTTAATGCATTTCTGATGATTTTCCTTCCACTTATATAAAATAGATAAGGCAGGATGTAAATCCTGAAGAACATAACAGTTACCACATCTTAAGAAATCTATCAAGCTTCAGTAGGGGAATATAAGGCAAAGAGGGAGGTGGGGGGCAAGAGCTGAAAAACTACCTTTTGGGTACTATGCTCACTACTGGGTGACGGGTTCAATCACACTCCAAACCTCAACATCATGTAATATACCTTTGTAACAGACTTACACATATACTAACTGAATCTAAAATAAAAGTTGAAAAAAAGGCCAAGCGAGGTGGCTCACACATGTCATCCCAGCACTCTGGGAGGCCATGGGGAGTAGATCGCTTGAGGCTGGGAGTTCGAGACCAGCCTGGCCAACATGGTAAAACCCCATCTCTATTAAAGTACAAAAATTAGCAAGGTATGGTAGCACACGCCTATAATCCCAGCTACTCGGGAGGCTGGGGCACAAGAATCGCTTGAACCCAGGAGGCAGAGGCTGCAGTGAGCCAAGACCAGGCCACAGCACTTCAGCCTGGGCAAGACAGTGAAGCTCTATCTCAAAAAAACAAATAAAAATAAAATAAAGTTTTTTTAAAAAGTAATCTAAGTAAAACTGGGAGAAAAAGGTACATTTGGAATAAACAAAAATCCATTAATATTTACTGAAAAATCATTCTATGCAAATGAATTTGAATACCTCTTATTAAAAAGAACACTATGGGCAAATTTTAAAAGCAATAGGAAACTAGACCTCAGAAAACAAAACATAACAATTCATTATTATAATCCTTCCAAAATTAGTATAAGGATTCTTCAAAGTTCTGACCCTAGATATAAAGAATTCATATACTTGATATATATTACTAATTAGCTCTTTAATTAGTCTAGCTGTAATCTACAACATTAGTAGGTGGTTCTATAGATACAATTTAGAATTTTTAAATTTAGATTTAAACACTTTCAGAACTTTTAGAATTGTTTTTAGAACTAACCCACCCCTTATTTTTGTATAAGTAAAAACCAAAATCCAAAGAAACGATTTCAAATCAGAATTCAGATATTATTTATAACAGCATTAACCTTCTTTAAAATATAGCCTTCCAGTTCTAAGATTCCCCTTGATTCTAGAAGAAGACATGATTTTCTCTAAAATCTGGGTTAAAAAACACACAGATTTGTACATGCAAGAGAAACAGAACAAGAGCTTATTAGTATAAAAGAGATAGAACTATTTAAAGTTATTAATAAGCAAAGATGCTATAATTTTTAAATGCCCTCCCTTTATAGTTAATATCCTAATCTATAACACAAATCACTTAATACTTAATATTAAGGTAGTATCATTCTTATTTAAATATTCCTAAACTCTAAATGAAACTGCCAATAAACTTAGACAATTACAATAAAAGAAATAAGCAGCACAGTCAAGAACTGATATAATGGGCAATTTCAAAGTGAATGACATACGGAGGAACTGGGAACAGGTTTTGTTCTTTTATTACAAATGAACGGAAAAGAGATGAAATCTGGCTAGGTGCAGGGGCTCATGCCTGTAATCCCAGCACTTTGGGAGGCCAAGGTCACTTTGTGGATCACCTGAGGTCAGGAGTTCAGGACCAGCCTCACCAACATGGTGAAACCCCCTCTCTACTAAAAATACAAAAATTAGCCAAGCATCGTGGCGCACACCTATAATCCCAACTACTTGGGAGGTTGAGGCAGGAGAATCGCTTTAACCTGGGAGGCAGAGGTTGCAGTGAGCCGAGATCATGCCACTGTATTCCAGCCTGAGAAACAGAGCAAGACTCTGTCTCAAAAAATAAAAATTAAAAAAAAAAAAAGGATGAAATCAGAAAATAGTGTTAAAAAATTAATTATGAAATGGAAAGTTCAGACAAGAGAGACTGGGCCAGATAATACAAAGCAAGTAAGAACCCAGTATGAAGCTAATCAAGAAAATATTATTTTTCAAAGTGTTAAGAATTTTTGGCAGCATAGCACGTAATAACCAACTATAAACTTACCCAAGAAGATACTATAAAAAAGCTCTAAGATTTCACCATCTCAGGTATAATAACTGAAGAGATTTTTCCTAATTCATGTACTACCTCTCGGTTTTTACCTGAATTCTCACCTACTTAAAATTCTTACCTGAAATTCAGCTGTTTTAGGATTACTTATGTGGACCGCCTTTGTTGCAGAGATATCCAGACCGAGTTTATCAGCTATATCTTCTTGGGAGCACTGTGAAGTACATACAAAACAGAATAATATGGAAAAGCAATTACTTAAGTTTAAAATAAAAAGTAATGCTGTAAGTCAACTTCTAAGAACAATGTATATTCTCTACATATATCAGCAAGTTAAGAATAGGCCTGGTGTCAGCTGGAGTAAATGTAATAAAAAAAATAATAAACAAATAAAAAAGAATAAGCTAAGAATAAATACACATCAATCTCAGGCCCGCAGTAGATGGAATTTAACATTAATACTTCTTTCACAATGAGTCCTAGGCATCATACAGAGCTAAAGTAAATTTTTCACGTGGAGATGGTATAAACTGTACTCAGGCCCTTCCTAAACTAGTTTCCCATTTATCTTTCCAATCTAATCTCCCATGATGCCCTAGCCATTCCCTAAACCTTATGTTTCCCTACCTTACCTGAAATGCCATCCCAGCCCCACTTGCTGCTATTCCCTAAGGCAGACTTAAATGACCTCTCTTCCGTAATAATATTCCTAATGACTCTAGTCAGAAACTTTCTCTCCCTCCTTGGTATTTCATGACTTTCCATTTTGACTACCATTGTAACCCTTGCTAAATCCACACTGACTTGTGGCAGAACAGTAGGACTGAGAACAGAATTCAAGTGACTGGAACTCTGCCCAGTGCTCTTTTATTGTATCACTTAACTTCTGTGCACATGCCTGAAACTCTTACAACAAATAAACTGCTGAGTACCCAGTGATCAAAGAGAAAGATGCTTGCCACCCTCAGAAACCAGCATTGTAGGCAGAAGTTATGAAATTAAAAACTCACTGACGATTAGATACATCAAGTCTAATAATAAATGATATAATGAGATAATGCAAGTATGGTGCCTGGCACAGAGTAAGCGCTCAAAAAATATCAACAATGATGATAACTGACAAATCATTACCAAGGATAAATTATTATCATGTATATTAATGCTAGCTTTTTGAAAGAGCATTTAAAACGTAACACAAAAACTGACATACCATCAGATTATTGTACTATTTTCCAATGTTAGGCAATATTGTTCATTATACTGTTCTACAACTAGTTTTCAAAGGCTAGTTGGCATGCATTTCACTTATTAAAACAAAATGGCACACACCAACTGAAATGGTAAGAAGAATTCATTTCATGTCAATGTCAGTTCTAGTGATTCTTGCCATGCTTTCTCGAGAAAGATCCTGAAGCCACATCCAGGCATAGCAGAAAACAGCTCCCTGATCTGCTATGGCTGCTGAGGTGGAGAATGGTGGCAGGCACACTGGGGATAAGCGTTTTCCCCACAGCATAAAGAAGTTTTATACCAACATTTAGGTATAATTTGATTGATTAATTAGGAAATGCAATTGACATGAAGCAATCTACTCTCAAATGAAACTAGTTCTCTCTGTGTAAAAGAAAAAAACACTCCACAGACACATGGCAATGCAGCTGTGTATCTGAGTGACCTTGTATTTTATCACGGCAATGGATAATAAGGGATAGTGACAAGAGGCAATTTAAATTAAGCTACCCTGAAGTGGCAGTAGTTAGTACACAGTAAGAAACTTTTTTTTTGTTTGAGACAGTCTCACTCTGTCGCCCACACTGGAGTTCAGTGGTGCAATCTCGGTTCGCTGCAACCTCCATCTCCCAGGCAGATTCAAGCGATTCTCCTGCCTATCTCCCGAGTAGCCGGGATTACAGGTGTGCACGACCACGCCTGACTAATTTTTGTACTTTTAGTAGAGACGGGGTTTTGCCAAGTTGGCCAGGCTGGTCTCGAACTCGTAGCCTCAAGTGATCCGCCCGACTAGGCCTCCCAAAGTGCACGGGATTACATGCCTGCCAGGAACTTTTTTAATGTTAATATTTATGTGTTTATTTTTTTAATGTGGTAGAAAAATACAACAAGTAAATGAACCTCGTAATTTTTATAGATATTATTGCTATAACAAGGCTGAACTACATAAGTCAACTTAAAAGTGAGCCAATTTAAAAGAATATATTATAACTACTATGCAGATACAGCAAAAATCATTATGATGAAATGTGAATTATTTACACTTGGAAAGTCAGGGACTAGGTTTCAGGAAAAAAAAATGGCTGTTACTCTTGTGCAAAACTGGATTTAACAACATAGACCATCTTTGCTCAGTGATGCTTAGGCTTGCCTATAAACATCTTCATAAACATCTTTAATGTTAAAATTCCTATAGGAAAATTTAGTACAAATCTGAAACTCTCTAGGAGCTCACCCCTTTCTCTTCCCCTCAGTGATAAACAATGAATATATTAAAGTGACTTTGGACAGCTGAACAGACTGTTTCTAACATCCCTGGTGTGACAGTTCAGTCACAGGCCTTGGATGCAGACAGGCATGGGCGGGAATCCCTGATACACAGCCACGGCGTAGGACAAGTTACTTAAATTAACTGCTGTGAAAGACAGGAACGCCTACTTCACAGGAGTATACTGAGAAGAAATGGAATCATGTACACAAAGCCCTTGGCACAGGGTAAACATTCCCTGCAGAGAAGCCACTAGTCAAGACTCAGCCTCTGTGCTCCTCTAAAGACACATGAGGCTCCAAGGTTACAAAATTAAACTGCACCACTAATATAAACGGGCAGGGAAAAATGCATATCCAAGTTTTAACAGCAGTTGTTTCTGGGAAGGAAAAGAGGATTCGAAGTGAGGAAGAGAACTGTTATGGTTTACTCTACATGGTTAAAGTATGAGTCCTTTAAAATAAGATGTATTCCTATGACACTCATATGTTTTAAAAAATAAAAATATATTTCTCAATGTTATTTTTGGTATTTCATTTTACATGAAATCGTGGATGCTCACAACTACAAATATGTGTATATATATGTACACAGATGAATGACATGGCATTGCAGACCTAGCGTACATGGTATGAGACCATGGAAAAGCACTTTCTAGGAGGCCAAAGGTCAGGACTCTGCTCATGATAAAATGAGATCATGCAAGTATAGTGGCCAGGAACATAGCAGTTCTCCTGCTGTCCGTGTAAAATGTGCTACGTACTTATCCTCTCTCAGCCTCAGGCTTCCTCTTTGGTGCAGTGCCTGACATATAATAAATGCTCAACAAATGTTGAATGAATGACTGCTGAATCAGAAAAATCAAAGTATTAAGCAAACTAGAAGTAGGGTCCCTTAAATACCATAAAAGATTGAGAATTTCAGGGCTAGGGCTGAGTTGCAGAGGAGAAAAAGAAGTAGCTTCCTTTCCCCTCATAGATTAAACATACTTGAATGCTGAAGAACTATATTGTAGGCACCGCAGAAATGCTCAGCAAGAGGGAAAAATGGAACTACAAATTGCATGCACATTTTATTCTTTCATATGGTCAATCTGGTGGGGGAGGGAGATTTCCTTCTGATTTTGTAATAAAAGTCATTTCCTGATTTAGGCCTTTTATGTCAGCTTTTCAACTCAAAGCAAATGTTTGTGAACATGTTCAAAGACAAAGAAATTAATTTAATGTGGAACAGTCCACAAGCCTTTACCCAGGGCGGCATCTAGTGGGCACAGCCATAACCAAATTAAGACCAAATATTCTAACTTAATCAATTTGGTTATGAAATACATTGTGAACTCTCAACACTCACATCAAACTATAAAATACTTTGTCATCTGTCATTTAAGGTATTTTTTTCTAGGCCTTCATTTTCTTTTGTGGCTGTAAAAAGAAAAGCTTCAATATTACTTTTCCAGGAATTGTATAATCTCAAGTAACAAAGGTTTTCTTTCAGAATCTGGAAGTTCTAACAGTCTAGATTTTATAAATTCTTATAAAGAATCATAGAATAAATAATTCAGAGAGTCTAAGTAAACAATAAGCTGGGCAGAAAAAGCATGTAAGACATACCAGGGCAAAGGTAAGCACTTCAGTGAAGCCAGCAGCTGCCATGTCATATCTGAGAAGTTCAGTGAGCTTATTAAGAGGAAACTGAAAAAAAAAGTATCCATTTGATTTCACCTCAATATTTCTTGTTTTTTAAAAGGGAGATTTATACAGAACATGTCATTAAATAATTTTTTACATAAAAATGTTTAAAAGATTAAATACCTTTTCACCCTTATGTACTGCTAATGCCACCATTTCCCTACCAATATTACCTCCTCCCTCCCCACCGTTCTGCTACCCCTCTGCTTTTACACAGATGTACAAACCACCCCCACTTCCATCTCTCCCACACACAGCTTCTGCCTTCAGGCCCAAGTTGAGAAAATGAACCTCTGAGAGATTCAACAAGGGCTCCAAACTCGAAACCTGTCTTTCTTCAAAGAACTAGTCATCACAGGTTTTCAACTTACTCTAATCATTTGGGCATCTGTTTTGTATCCTCTCCATAGCAAATGCCTCTCACTGCAGAGCATGTCCAAATACTGCTTGATTCCTACGTTCTGTTTTCTTGAAGCCTTCCTGGCTTTCAATAATCAGTTTCTAACAATAAGGAGTGTTTATTTAAGGGTGCAATCTTACTTGATTAGCTATGGTGTAAGTTTTCGGGAGAGTCATCTGAATGTTGTTATATCCATAAGCAATAGCTGCATCTTCTACAATATCACATGCATGGATAATGTCAGCTCTGGTTGGAGGGATTTCAATCTCAATCTGATTCCCGTCACCTATGACTTCTGATTTTAAATACATCCTTGTCAGAAGTTTGGCAAGATTTTCTGGAGTTTCTCTGAAAAAGGAATGAACAAACCATAAACTTCATTGGATTATTTTTTAATGTTTGCATTGTGTTTCAAAATACGCTGCTAGCTGAAATAGTAATCTTTCTTTTTGAGTTCTATCAGAAACCAGACATGTTAACTGATGTTTTATCATTCCATAACCGACTCTGAAGGATCGCAAAAAAAAATTAGTCATATGTGTACTTTGTTCTTGAATTAAGTGAAGTTTTCAGAGCATACCTGATTCCAACTTTTTTGTTAATGAGGTCAGCTCTCACCATCTCCTTTCGGTAAGCTAATTCCTTAAAGAGAAAGAGTTTAAAAAGTAAATCATTTCCCATCAGATACAGCTTTAGACTCTTTTCCATTAAATTAGTCATTATTGCAGTTCAATTACGTTCCCAAGAAATTGTCATTAGAGCCACAGATTGAGAATAAACTTGATGTTTCAAAAACAGTATTATGAGGTATAAATTTGTTACATTAGATTCATACGTGAACATCCTACTTGCTAGACAGTTTGCACTGCCTGGAAATAATATAAAATGCCAAACATTTTTCCCTTTCAGATAGTCAGTCCCCATTCCCCACGGTAAAACACTGCTGTGCTACATCATTCCAAAGATGTTTATGAACCCTGCTAAAGATTTTCAGTCTTGTCCTATGCAAGCAGATGGATATGAGCAAGAAAGAATAATTCCAATGTCACAATGTTCATCATACTAAGTCTAAGAGCATGATGAAGATATTCTTTTCTTACAATTTCCAGGTGGGGAAATGCAATGATGTTATGGCTACCAATCTGCTCCAGAAGACAATAGGGGTAGGAGCATCTAATGAATTTGGTACTCAGTCTTCTTCAGACAGCATGTAACTCCACCATATTAGTGACGTGAGAACACACACACATAAAAACCCAGGCTTTTCAACACCTTTGGAAATGTCCTTATGAATATTTCTTATCACTCAATTACTCTCAAAAGTATAACATGTCACTAGCAAAAAGGTCATAAATTTAAAGACCTGTTTTGATTCAAGTAAGGGCAATGGTCCAGAACCTTGCTACACAAACTGCAGTCCTCAGAGTAGACCTAAGAGCACCTCAGAGCACCAGCATCACCTAAGTGCTCATGAGAAAGGCTGACTGCAGGTCTTGATAGCTAGTGGCAGTGGCACCAGAGCTACTGAAGCCCAATCTGCACGTTTTCAAAATCCCCAGGTGATGAGAATGCACTGCAGGGTTTGGGAGGCACAAGGTGAAGATTACAAAGTAGTAAGTCACTTTTCTCAATAGTTACTATGAACTAAATAGTTATTATGAGATGAACAATACAAGATACACTTTTAAGATAATCTTACTTAATCCTCACAACAAATGCTATTAGTATTCTCATTTGACAGGTAAGGAATTTGAATTTTAGGTGAATAACTAGTTCCAGGTCATAATAGTAAACTGCCAAGTCCAAGTGCTGCTATATGCCCAGTGCTTAGAAAATGATTATCAGATAATAAGCATTTGGTATATATATTTGATGAGTGAATGCATGCATATAAGTAGTAACAAATGGCTGGGCATGGTGGCTCATGCCTGTAATCTCAGCACTTTGGGAGGTCAAGGCAGGTGGATCACCTGAGGTCAGGAGTTCGAGACCAGCCTGGCCAACATAGTAAAACCCCATCTCTAATAAAAATACAAAAACTAGCCGGCGTGGTGCACGAGCCTGTAATCCCAGCTACTCGGGAGGCTGAGGCAGGAGAATCGCTTGAACCCAGGAGGTGGAGGCTGCAGTGAGCTGAGACGGCGCCACTGCAACCCAGCCTGGGTAACAGAGCGAGATTCCATCTCAAACAAAAAAAAAAAGTAACTAATGAACAAATTAATGAATTAATAAACAAATTAAGACAACCCAATTCCAAAGCACACACCATTAGTCTGTCTGACTACTGACAACTTATCTCCTCTAGTTCTCTTACTTTTAAACTTTATACTTTTCGCCGGGCGCGGTGGCTCACACCTGTAATCTCAGCACTTTGGGAGGCCGCGGCGGGCGGATCACAAGATCAGGAGATCGAGACTATCCTGGCTAACACAGTGAAACCCCGTCTCTACTAAAAATACAAAAAATTAGCTGGGCGCGGTGGCGGGCGCCTGTAGTCCCAGCTACTCAGGAGGCTGAGGCAGGAGAATGGCGTGAACCTGGGGGGCAGAGCTTGCAGTGAGCCGAGATCGCGCCACTGCACTCCAGCCTGGGCAACAGAGTGAGACTCCGTCTAAAAAAAAAAAAAAAAATTTAAAAAAAAAAAAAAACACTTTATACTTTTCTATGAAATTACAAAACACAAGAAAAAAAACTTTCAAAGAGTTTAAGATGCTATTTCATGTGAGAGAGAATCAGTTGCCCCCAGAGGATCCTTCCCTAAGAAAAGCTGTTCTAATTTAAGTTTAGGAGGAAATAAATGAACAAATGCGAAAACACTCACGTAGTACTCCTTTTCAGAAAGCCCATCATTTCAAATTTATGAAAGATCTCTATATTACAAATATATGACTTTAAGGGATTATCCATATGAGAAGAGTGAACCAAATATTAAAATATATTTCTCATTTTCTTCCCAAAAATATACAATCACTTTTATTAACACTTGACAAATCTTCATATTAAAAAGAGGTCGGGCGTGGTGGCTCACATCTGTAATCCCAGCACTTTGGGAGTCCGAGGCAGGCGGATCACAAGGTCAGGAGATCGAGACCATCCTGACTAACACGGTGAAACCTCGTCTCAACTAAAAATACAAAAAAAACATTAGCTGGGTGTGGTGACGGGCACCTGTAGTCCCAGCTACTCAGGAGGCTGAGGCAGGAGAATGGCATGACCCTGGGAGGCGGAGCTTGCAGTGAGCCGAGATCACACCACTGCACTCCAGCCTGGGCAACAGAGCGAGACTCCTCAAAAAAAAAAAAAGAAGAAGAAAAAGAAACTCTCTGACATAATTTTAAAACCATCTAAAAAGCTATCTCCAGCTAATCCCAATTGCTACTGTCGTAAACTGTAAAAATGGCCACAAATTTCCCCCCTCTCTGTATCCATGGCCTTGCAATGTGATACTGCCAATTTTCCAATCAGGAGATGGCATCTATTTCTCCACCTATCAAATCTAGCCACATGACTGGCTTTGGCCAACAGAATAATATTTGAAAAACACCTGGGCACTGGGCATGCTCTCTTGCTGCTAGGAACCCTGCAACCCCAAGTAAAAAAGCCCAAGCTAGCCTGCTGTATGATGAGGGACACGGGAGTTGTTGACCCCACTGCCAAGAAGCAGACATGAGTGAGGCCATCCCAGATCATCCAGTTGCTAGCCAACCAGTCAACTGACTACATATGGGTAAGCCCTGCAGAGATTAGCCAAACTTGCTCAGACCAGGAAAACCACTGTAGTGACCAAGAGAATCATGAGATAAATAAATGGTTGTTGTTTTAGGCCACTAAGTCTTGGGGGTAGTTTGTTAAATAACAAAAGCTAACTTATAATAGATACTTAAATCCGAATCAACCTTTTAAAAATATTGCCTATATGATTTCAGTTATGCTTCATACAGTTATATGTGTATTTTGAAGTATAATTAATGCTCAGAATAAAATATGATGTTAAATGTTAATGTCTTCTGGAATGGGGAGGTTTTGATCTTAGCAGATTTCATCTACTGTAAAAGCTATTTAAATAGCAGAAACCACTTCAGGCTGTGATTTACTTCATAAATGACAAGGGAATAGTGAAAGATTCAAAGGGGAAGAAAAAGCTCATCAAAGAATGCTCTCACTGTATGAGAACCACAAAGTGACTGTGATACTGTTATGTTTTAGAACAGTTATCTTTATGTCAAGTCACTTGGGTGAGGGGGACAAAACCCCCCAGGAATAATACTGGTTTAGATTTTTTACCAAGATCTTATGTCTTGACAATAACTGTGTGCTTACTACTAAATTAGTCTTAATAATACATTTGAAATTATTTATTAGTTACAGTGATGGCCTTCAGCAACTGTTAATTCAAGTGTGAACAGACTACGTTCGGAGGGTTGAGTAATCTTAAAAGGAGTGAGACTATAAATTACTTATTTAATAAGTTCTATTGTTCTACAGCACTGTAGGATGCTATAATATAATTAACAAAAATTTATTGTATATTTTCAAATATAGAGGAGCAGACTATGAATGTTCCCAACACAACAAAACAGTAAATGTCTGACATGACGGATATACCAACTACCATGATTTGATCATTACATATTATATACATGTATTGAAACATCACACTGTACCCCATAAATATGTACAATTATTATGTGCCAATTAAAAAAACATTTTTTAAAAAAACTACTCAGTTAATTAGTTAATAGGAGAATAAATCAGAGGAATTATGACCACACAATGTTGTTGTATAATGTTGTGTGTTGACGGCTGCAGTCAAACTGTCTGAATTTAGATTCTAGCTCTACCACTTAAAAATGATAAGCAAGGTATTTAACATCTCAAGGTCTCAGGGACTCCATCTGGAAAAAGCATAATAATAGCACCTATCCTCACAGGATGATTGTGAGGACTAAATCCATGTAATGCACACAGTATAGCAGCTGGCACACGGGTGGGTAGGTAGGTGACGGATAGACAGACAGAACATCAGTGGTCTATAGCCATTATTATTAGTATTGTTGTCATAATCATGAAGTCATTTCTTAAGCACTTACTGGAAAGGTATATGATTTTCCATTAGGAAAAACCACCTCAGCAGCTTCGACCCTGAAAACAAAAGTCAGAAATAAAATACTTAAGAAAAAAATGTGCCATAAATTATAGACATGTGTATGGTTATCAAATCTTTCATTTGGGCTACAACTACAGCCTCAACATATTCCATCTATTGCATTCCAACACTGTTTGGATTGATCTTGCTATATACAATATTACTCTACCGTTTCATCTCCTAGGGCTCCAATGTCCTTTTCAGGCACCACTTCCTTGAAGGGTTTATTTCCCAGTACCGCAAAGCATGCATCCTACGGGGACTCCTTGCCAATATTGACACACACATTCTAGGCTTTACCAGGGCAGTGTGTTACACAATAAAACTGACAGAATCACTGAAATGAAAATCAATTGAAAAAAAACCTGATACTGCCCATATAATTTCAATCACGCTTTCTACAGTTATATGTTTTCAATTATATTAATATTCTAGAATAAACTACGATGCTAGTACTAAGGATCATATAGATTTGTTAAATAGCTTTTTAAACTAAAAATATGCTTTGGAAAAAATACAGTAATCTTACCGATATGGGATACATGCTTTGCTCTTACATATGCCTCTCTACCTCTAGCTGTTCTTTTGCTGTTCTTCCAACTATATATTCTCAAATCCAGTGATCCCCAAACACAGCTTAAATTTCATTGCCTCCATGAAGCCTTCTCAGATTGTATCAGCTGGCAGTAACTTGCCCTTACAAACAGCCAGAATATCACCGAAACTTTTTAAAGTACTTAACGCTTATGATTTTATCCAATATTTATGCATATGTCTTATCTCCCTGAACAGATTATATGTTCTAGTTACGGGAACCACATTTTTAATCTTTATATTTATTTGTTTATTCATTCATTTTTTTTTTAAGACAGTGTCTCGTTCTATGATCCAGTCTCGAGTGCAGTGGCACAAACATAGCTCACAGCAGCCTTGACCTCCCAGAATCAAGCAATCCTGCTGTCTCAGTCTCCCCAATAGCTGGAACCACAGGAGCAAGCCACCAAACTCAAGCAATTTTTTAATTTTTTGTAGATATGGCGTCTTCCTATGTTGCCCAGGCTGGTCTTCTACTCTGGGGCTCAAGCAGTCCTCCCGCCTCAGCCTCCCAAAGTGCTGGGATCACAGGTGTGAGCCACCGCACCTGGCCTATCTTTATATTTAGCGCAAAGCCTTGCCTTCAGAACAATGGGCCATCAATAAAGGTGCTGGATGAACTTACGTAAATTGATTCTCACAGTATTCACTGAACATGGTGACAATAATATCAAGAACTATTTTTGCCTGCAAAGAAAAGAAAAGCAAGTATTATAGTAATCTATAAATACATTCTCTTCACTCAGATGGAAATGAATAAATATTTAATATAATTGTGTCCCCAAACATCTAACAGACCTTTACATATACATTTTAAGAAAGGAAGTTGAATAAAAGCAAGAGTAGGCCTCGCCTTATCTTCAGGTGTTCTGCATTTATGCAGTTCTCTGACAGTTATAATCCATGACTGAGACAAATCGTTTCGTTCCCCCACTACCCCCAACCTCAGGTTCACTGGGCTTCAACAGAGACAAATGGCTAATTACTGGAATAAATCTTAACAATCTCCTAAGTCTCTGAAGCCAGACTGCTTGAATCCTGGCTAGCACTTACTAGCAGTATGACATTGGGCAAGCCACTTTTCTAACCTGTTAAGGAGATAATGAAAGTTCCTATCTTGTCTGGTTCTTATGAAGATTAAATACATTGGCATGTAGTAAAGACCATATAGATTTGTTAAATATTTATCTATTTCAAAAAAAATTCTTAGAAAAAAAATACAGTGACTTTACTGGAATATATGCTTTACTCTTATATATATATTTCACTCCTATATATACAGGCTTCAGCAAAGACATTCAAGGTCTGTAAATGCATGAATTAAATTTTTTTTAAAAATTAATATTAAAGCAGTATTACCCTGACAGTATTTCTGAAGGCAAGGAGTACATAAAAGTTATAAATGAAATACCTTACAATGGTCTCTAATCCTATAAGACGTACATGAATACCATTTATTTGCCCTATTTCTATACTCCAGCCTTCTCCTGCCATTTGAGGTTACCTTTCTTAAATTCTTTAACTGCCACCTCATTTAACATATGTAAAGAAGTCATACGTCATAGAAAAGCTTTCATAGCAATCCAATCCAATAGATGAACTGACTAAAAGTGGGTGAAGAATTATAGTCTAGATAATTCTGTGTGCATAAACCATTTATCAATTTACTAAATAAAGCTTCTTCAACCCAGTTCATTTTTCTTTTCTTTTTTTTTTTTTTTTTTGGCTTTTACTAAGTACACAAAGGTACCAAATTACTCCACATACAAATTAAGTCAACTAGATAAACAATTTATATGGATCTCCCTACAGTACTCATTCCATGTTGTGTTTTATAGTTATGTACATGACTAACTCTCCCAGCAGGAGTTCTTTCATGTGAAGAAACATGTAACTCATTATTAAATTCCTGGCACTGGAAAGATATTCGGTGTTCACTAAACATCTGTCAAATTAATGAAAGCACCATAACCAAAGTGTAGAATATCTCTATCTTTTTAATTGTCTAAATTTCTAAAATATGTTCCCACCTACAAAATGCACATATTTTAAATTTTAGCCATTGAGTCTTGATCCGGAAATAAAATCTATCCCATCTGATCATACAAAAATTGAGTAAAAGTTTTATTTACCTTAGTAAAGTCAGTTCCAGTGCATTCAATAAAAATATTTCTAGTATTTACTGTTATTCTGGAATGATCCCCTGCAATGAACACAAAACAATAACAACAGAATAACTAGTTTTAGAAATAGAAGTGCACTATTAAGCTCAACAAAACAGAAACTACATTTTAAATGTAAAACATATTAAAAACTAACACCTTGGCCAGGGACGGTGGCTCATACCTGTAATCCCAGCACTTTGGGAGGCTGAGTTGGGCAGATCACCTGAGGTTAGGAGTTCGAGACCAGCCTGACCAACACAGAGAAACCCCTTCTCTACTAAAAATACAAAATTAGCCAGGCATGGTGGCACATGCCTGTAATCCCAGCTACTTGGGAGGCTGAGGCAGGAGAATCACTTGAACCCAGGAGGCAGAGGTAGCGGTGAGCTGAGATGGTGCAATGGCACGACATGGTGCAATGGCACTCCAGCCTGGGCAACAAGAGCAAATCTCTGTCTCAAAAAAACAAAAAACAACAAGAAAAAAAAAACTAACACCTTAAGAGCAAAGGGAAAAACAATTTTTATTTAAAGCTCCCACTGCAAGTTGAAGAGTAAAAATAAAAAAATTAACAGGCCTTTACTGAATGCATACAATGTGTCAGGTGCTATGTCAAACACTTAACACAGGTTGTCTCCTCTAATCTTTACCACAACCCCATGATGTAATTGCTGGCAAGAAACTAAGTTTAGAGAGATTAAATTATTTGACCATGATCACGAGCAGCAAGGCTAGGATTTGGGTCTAGATCTGGTTAACTCTGGGGCCCATGTTCTTAACTGCTGTAACTGCTAGGGTCCAAGATCTCGAGAAGAAGCTTCTTCTTCTCATAGCAAATCAGCTAAGCCTCCTTCTTACCCCCAGAAAGGCAAACATCAATGTCTCAGACATCATTAAATTTTGTAAATACATTCAAACTGTCTCATAAAAATAGCCTTCAGAAGGGAATTAAGAGGGCAAAATTTAAATTAAAAGTTTTCATTTAACTATATAACTAGGCAAGGCCAGGCATGGCAGCTCACATCTATAATCCCAGGGCTTTGGGAGGCCAAGGTGGGAGAATCGCTTCAGCCCAGGAGTTTAAGGTTGCACTGAGCCATGACTGCACCACTGCACTCCAGCCTGAGTGACAGAGCAAGAGCCTGTCTCGAAATTTAAAAAAAACCACACAAAAGAAAAAAAACTACAGACATGACAGAGTTTGACTTTGAGTTTAACCAAGTGAATTACCTGCTAAAACCAAAACATCAATAACCTTGGGAGAAATATAACAGAACCCAAAGCCTAGCATCAGAAAATATTTATAAGTGCATGAACATATTATAAATTACATAAGAATCACCAGTAAAAAGTTGTTGAATAAATGAATGAAAAGAATGATTAGAATCTACAAAAGACCTGAGATACTCAGATTATGAGTTATTTGAATTTGATTTAGCCAAGTCTATTGAGAATTCTAGAGAAATGTTGAAGATTAAAAAGAAACAGCAAAGATCTGTGATGCTTATAAAATAACTCACCATTGATGATGGGAGGCATTGAAAGGACGACACCATTGCTATCATAGATAACTGGATACAGGGGTTTGTTTTCAATGATATGTAAATAATGTTTAAGGTGATTATCAGTCTGAAAACAAATTAAGTCAAATAAAATTAGTTGTTGTTTTTTTTATTTCTATCACTATAGTTTACATACTGACCTAATATTAAAAAAGGGAATGCCAGGCATGGTGGCTCATGCCTGTAATCCCAGCACTTTGGGAGGCTGAGGCGGGTGGATCACCTGAGGTCAGGAGTTCGAGACCAGCCTGACCAACATGGAGAAACTCCATCTCTGCTAAAAATACAAAATTAGCTGGGCGTGGTGGCACATGTCTGTAATCCCAGCTACTCGGAAGGCTGAGGCAGGAGAATCACCTGAACCCAGGAGGTGGAGGTTGCGGTGAGCTGAGATTGCGCCATTGCACTCCACCCTGGGCAACAAGAGCGAGACTCTGTCTCAAAAAAAAATAAAATAAAATAAAATAAAAAATAAAGGAGGGGAAAAGTCAGAAAAACATTAAAACAGACCCAAATTAAAGAAAATTCTAAATTTATAAGATTTTCTAATATAAATTAATATTCCAATATTCAATGCACATAATTGAGTCATTTCTCAAGAATGAAAACAGATTTGCACTAGTATGCCTGAATCATTTCAAAGGAAACATAAACCATGACAAAACTATTTAGATAAATCAGAAGAAGTCACTTGCAAATCAGGGCAAGGATGACACTGCTTTTTCTAAATGACAACTATTTTTTCTACTTGTTAAATACAATCCAAAGTGACTACTGAATTCATTTTCACTGCTGGACTTCTAAATAATGGGAGATAGACAGCTTGTAACTGTATTTCCCACAAAAAACACTAGCTAAGTCTTACTGTTCTTTACACTTGCGTGAGTTTCAACTGCAGATTACAATGTGGTACGGTCTACTTCAGTGGTTCTCAATCCTAGCAGTACACTGAAATCATATCAGAGGTTAAAAATGTAACAATAAATAAAACAAAACTATGTTCAGGTCCCACTCTAGATCAGATGAATCACTATCTCTAGGTTGGAGCCCAGACACTGCAATTTTTTAAAAGTATTCATTACATTTCCCTAGTTGCAAGGCTTGACTTTGATGGAATTTCATGATTTTTGCAAAGCTGCTGCATAATCAAAAAGAATATTTACCTTGTATATGTTCATCAGTTCACAGGCTGTATACTCCTTGGTCTTATTTAGAGGCTTGAATTTAATATCTGAAGGACGCTTTGCAGTATAAGTAAATGGGCCTGACAAAGTGTCCAAATCATGGGTGCCAATAGCAACCAATGCTCTTTTCCTAATTGTGGAGAGGGTGAGGGAGAAGGAGGGAGGAAAGGAAAGGAGAATGAGACAGATGTGAATATTCTAAAGCACATAAACATAGACTACATATTTTTTTAAATTATTTCAGATACTCCCCTGAAACAGCATATTGCTACTACATGGCATCATTAGTGGCATATAATGAACAAATTCTCACAACCATTAAGAGTACTGAGAAATCACAAAACTACACGAAACACATGATTTCAGGAGCTGAAGAAAATTCCTTGCCATTATGTTTTCCCAAATGCTGTTTCTAAGATATCTTCAAAGTTAGCATTTCCTTTACCTCTTTTAAACTATTTCTTCTTGATATATTCAAGTAAACATATTTTAATAAATTAGAATGAACTACCAAATTGTGGAGTTTTTGGCTTTTCTATGTTTTCCTAAATTTTATCACATAGCTGCATTACTTTAGTTGTGGAAAAAATTTAATTTTAAGAGCTCTGAATCACAGTTCAAGTTTACTTTAATGTATAAGGAAAGTTCCAAAGGTATTCAGGACTTGTTCTACAGTTTATCCACAAAGGATTGAAGGTAATTTTAGGAAACTACAGCAAGCTACAAAATAGGAGAGAAAGAAATAGAAGTAGGGATGTAAAACCGAGCCAGGAAATGTTAATTCTGAATTAGAATCTAAAGGCCTAAGTCTTAGCAGGAAAGGTCACAAGTTTGGCTTTCTAACAGTCAATTTGAAAAGAGGAACTTGGTCAGAATTTGTGTTCTTAACATACTTTAGTTTAAAATGTATGTGCACTAAAATTAGTTTAAAATGCTTAATATTAAATTTTGGTCAACTTCCAGGACTGCAGGACTGGTGAACCAGAACTTTAATGAACAGGGTTGAAAAGAAATGTTAACAGGCAATAAGGGAGTGTTACTTTACTCAATTACTCATATGCTTACAGAAGATAATAAACCTAGAACTATCACAGGATGAAATATACATGGTTCAATAAATGTAGGTAAATTAATAATTGACAAATGCACAGGTAAGAAAGTCTATTTTCTTAGATGTTAATATTGGTCCCTTAATCCTAAAACAGCACCTCAAAACATCACCAAAATTTCAACTTCAAATCAGCAACAAAAAAAACATAATTCCAGATGAATCAAAGACCTAAGCATTTTGAAAAGCAAAAGACAAACATACAGGCACACATAAAAAAGACACCATAAAAATTATTCCAAGGAAATATAGAGGCCAGGTGGGGTGGCTTATGCCTGAAATCTCAACACTTTAGGAGGCCAAGGCAGGAAGACTGCTTGAGCCCAAGAGTTCAAGACCAGCCTGGGCAACATGGTGAGACCCCAACTCCACAAAAAATATAAAAATTAGCTGGCTATGGTGCCACACACTTGTGGTCTCAGCCACTTGGGAGGCTGAGGTAGGAGAATCACTTGAGTCAGGGAGGTCAAGGCTATAGTGAGCTGTGATTGCACCACTGTAGTCCAGCCTGGGCAACAGGGTGAGACCCTGTCTCAAAAACAAAACAAAACAAAAAGATAAGAAAATATAGAAGAATATGCTTAAAACTATAGGACACTGCTTCTTAAGTAGGTCATAAAATCTAAAAGTCATACAGAAAGACTGATAACTATACCCAAATTAAAAACCTTACATATCCAAAAGAAATCAAAAGTCAAAAAACACAAAAAAGGTTTACAACATATGTACAGGAAAAAGATTAACACTCCAAATATAGTAAGAGATGAAAAAGCCAAAAATATTCAGAAATCAAGATTGTATCTAACATAATGGTAAAAATTTCAAAGTCCTGCTATAAAAGAGCAGCAACTGAAAGCTGAAAGAACTGAGCAGAAAACTGAACCACTGCCGAGTCTGAATCTAGCTAAGTGTTCAAGTCTTTGCCTGAAAGAACAAAAACCACTCTTCAGAGAAACACAGCAAAGTCAACACTCTTCTCTAATATGATATTCTATATGCATCAAAAGGCGATGGACATGAGAAGAAATATGGAACACATGACTCTTACTCCAGACAAAACCAGTCTATAGAAAGCAACACTAAGATGCCCCAGATTCTGATACTGCCACACAGATTTTAAAGCCGCTACTAAAAAATGTTCAAGAATTATGGAAGAACCACGCCTGTAATCCCAGCACTTTGGGAGGCCGAGACGGGCGGATCACGAGGTCAGGAGATCGAGACCATCCTGGCTAACAAGGGGAAACCCCGTCTCTACTAAAAATACAAAAAATTAGCCGGGCGAGGTGGCGGGCGCCTGTAGTCCCAGCTACCGGGAGGCTGAGGCAGGAGAATGGCGTGAACCCGGGAGGCGGAACTTGCAGTGAGCCGAGATCCGGCCACTGCACTGCAGTCCGGGAGACACAGGGAGACTCCCTCTAAAAAAAAAAAAAAAAAGAATTATGGAAGAACATACACATAATAAATAGATGAGGAAATATCTGCAGAAAAGAAGGAACTATTTTTTTTTAAAGGCAGTGGATTGCAGAGATGAAAAGTAAAATAACTGAAGTATAAGACTCACTAGGTACTTCAAGCCAAGACAGAGTAACACACTAGATTTACTCTTGCCTGAAACAACCGAGGAGCAAAATGTACGGAGCAATAGTTTTTATGGCACCTAACAGCAGGCGATGAAGGGCAGCAATCCTGAGACACTGTAAACAAGTGAGATGAGCCCTGACTACAGGGCAGGAAAGAGGGCCCAGTGGAGCCCAGGAGACTCTGAGAGCAAGAGACATAGCTGAGAGTTTGGGGAGGCCAAGGTGGGCAGAGTCCCAGAGAAAAGCAGAGAGCTACACACAGAGAGAACTCTGAAGATATGCAGAGGGTCCCACTCAAATACTGGTGAGCTCAGTATTGATCAGAACATACAGCTGAGAAAACTACCCAAGGCCAGGAAAGAATTACTCAAGGGAATTAGAGGAAACAGTGCTCCATGTTCACACAGACTAAAACTTCACTGCTCATGTAGCAAAGGATACAGTAGGCAAAAGGGTCTTGCCTCAGCAGTAGGGACTAATTAGCCTAAGAAAGAAGCTTAATCAATAAAAATAGAGGAAAAAATAAAAGAAGAATCAATGAAACCAAAAGTTCATTCTTTGAAAGATCAGTAAAATGAGTGGTTCATGCCTGTAACCCCAGGACTTTGGGAGGCAGAGACAGGAGGATCACTTAAAGCCTATAAGGCCAGCCTGAACAACAAAGCAAGACCCCTATCTCTACAAAAAATTTTAAAATTAGCCAGGTGTGGTGGCTCATGCTTGTAGTTCCAGCTACCTAGGAGGCTGAGGCAGGAGGATCACTTGAGCACAGGAGTTTGGAGGTTACAATGAGATGATCATGCCACTGGACTCCAGCCTGGACAACAGAGCAAAACCCTGTCTCAAAACAAACAAACAAAGAAAAAGATCAATAAAACTGATAAACCTCTAGCCACACTGATCAAAGGAAAAAAAAGAGAGAAGACAGAGAAATGAAAGAGGTGACATCACTAAAGATACTACAGATATTAAAAGGATAATAAGGAAACATTATGAACAACTTTGTCAATAAATTTAATAACTTAGACAATATCAATATATTCCTTGAAATACATAAACTTCCAAAGCTCATTAAAGAGGTTAATTAGGATTTACTGACAGAAAAGAACTCTGGCACACCAAAGTATTAGGATATGTTCAATTCTTCCCCTTAGAAAAAGCTCATGATTTCCAGAAATACCAAATAAAACAGAGCTTAAAGTTAAATTAAGAAAATGTCTGTTTAGATTAAAATAGCTTCTTAAAATAAAAAAGATAATAGAGCCAGAGCAGATAATCTAGCTCATCCACTTAAGTTACACCTATACTTGTCAGAAATCTTGTATTTTGTTCTTAATTTTGAAATTATTGTTTTGCTTAATAATGACGTATTAGCAAGCTGATATATAAACTCTTTTATATGAAAGGACTGGGAATAAACGTTATTTGGAATCTGAAAAAAAGTGTTGCTTCTACCACATGCACAAAGATGTTTTTCATCATAGCAGAAAATGTCTATGGTTCTCCCTCTATCCCGTCCCTAGCCCATCCCATACACATAAACCCCTCCTAGGCTCTATAGTTTACTAAACTACAATTATTAGCAAATAATTGCAGCAGATCTCACACATAAAAAAATTAAAAAGTAAAAATTCTTTTTCTATTTTTATTTGAGACATATATAACTATTAATCATACCTTTGTATTGACATGCAGTTAACTTATGTTGATCTATTTCAGAACCAACACAAATAAGCTTAATATGTTAGCTGAAGTCTGAGGTTTGTCATCATCAGTAAGTGTATAGTTTCCATTAGGATTCTGAAATACTTAAATGAGTTCAAGGATTACCATTGTTACCTTCACTGACCTTTAGGAGTTCAGAAATTATATAGGTTTGAAGATCATTGCCCTAAAGGGAGCTGTGCAGGAAATTATGCATAGTAATGTAAAGACTGAATAAGTAAAATTTAGTCACTTAAACTCAAGTACTGTCAATTTATAATTATTCTCACAAATGTTATTTCCATTTTAAAAATGATATATCATACTTCATTACCATGGTTTATACTTAGTAGTATAATCCACTGCTGATCTGAACCAAAACAACAACAAAAAGCAGGGAAGTCTCTAGGACTAGATAATTCTTCTCTATACAATATTCAAAATATACCTCCTGTTTCTTCATGCACATGCCATTTACAAGCAGTAACAGGTATTTGGTAAAGCCAAGTTAAATCCTCATAATCTGTCACATACTATTAATTTAGAAATGCTTTGTGAAAAATCTGCAGAGGAAGAAAGGAAGGAGAGATAGAGAGAAAGGGAGCAGAAGTGGCAAGAGAGAAGAGGGTGAGAGATCAGGATGGAAAGGACATAGGGAGGCAGAGGGAAAAGGGAAGACAAGGAAGAAAGAAAATGCAACCACAAACCTGCAAATATTCTGATGTAATTTTTCCTGAAGTTCAATGAAGCTATCGTATCGATCTTTAGTAAACTTTATATTACGGAGAACTGCTGCTACCGCAAAAGGACGTATCTTAGCTGTCTGAAATTCATAATATCATTAGAGATAGCAAACAGTAAGGTTTTTCTTTGTAATATCTTGTAATAGGAAGGCAGCTGCACTCTTGCCACTGGCATACATTTTCATTCAAACAAGTATGTATTAATTTATTCAGTCAACAAGTAATAAAGTGGTAAACTACAAAGTCACTACCTTCACAGAATTTATATTTCAGTTAAGATTTCTGAAAATGTATTAAATAATCGAGAAAAAATTTGCTCATAATTCATATTTTTACCAAAACAACCCCTCCGAAAAGTTTAAAATCTTTTAAAATTTCATTAACATTCCACAATTTAAACAATTATATCTCAAATGTGTTTTAAACATGCATTGGATATTATTATCCAAAACTATTTATGGAAAGCAAAGGCTTGTTCTTTTTCATTCCCAGGTTAAAAAAAATTTTTTAAGAGCTAGTGACTAAGTATATACTCATTTTAGTAAATGATCAAAGAAAATCACATTTTTTAGAAGGGTAAGCTTTGGGCCAGGCACAGAGGCTCACACCTGTAATCCCAGCACTTTAGGGGGCTGCAGAGGAAGGATCCTTTGAGCTCAGGAATTTGAGACCAGCCTGGGCAACATGGTGAAACCCCATTTTTAAAAAATACAAAAAATTAGCCAGGTGTGGTGGCGTGTGCCTGTACTCCCAACTACTCAGGAGGCTGAGGTGGGAGGATCACTTGAGCCTGGGAAGCAGAGGTTGCAGTGAGCCAAGACTGCACCACTGCACTCCTGCCTGGGCAACGGAGCCAGACCCTGTCTCAAAAAAGAGTAAGTCTTGTTTCTTTTTCCTCCCCACCTTATACAGACATATACAAAAGAAAATATTTTAAGGAAAAATAAGAATTTATCCTTATTACCTCTTCTGTGATAATCAATTTCTGGATTTTTCCATCAGGCATTACCCGTTTATACACTGGAGCCTTTATCCTAAAATAATATTTAAATGAATTTACTCATAATTAATCAAGACATTAATTATATAAAATAATTACATTCTATGCTGTATATGGGAAGTATACAAAATGAATTAGGGCAATGGGTTGAGTTATAGCAAGTCAAATTTTGGCTGAACACTAAAAATAAAATTAAAAAAATAAAAACTAACAAACTTTTTAACATTTAAAGTTGTCCAAAAATTACATAAGATGCTTCACAGTAATGTATTTCCTATCGCTAGCACCCCAGCAGAAGCTACAAACCGTTAACTGAGCAATTGTTTAAGGAGCATTTCAACATCAGCTTAGGGACTGGATTAGATAACCTTTAAGTTATGATAGTTATTCTAACCATGAGATTCTGAGCTTCCAGGAAAAAACAGAGCTTATGGAAAATACAGATTCCCTGGTTCCATCTGGACCTACTATTACCAGATGATAAAATAAGTCAAGACAAAGATTTGGTAAATGGTGCAATTTGAAGGCATCTCTAGGGAACTCTTATCATAGGGAGAAGTTGGGAACTACTGTTTTAAGGCAGTGCTTCTCAAATTTCAATGTGCTTACAATTAACTGGGAAGTTTGTTAAACCACAGATTCTGATTAATAGGTGTTGGGTGGCAACTAAGACTGCATTTCTAGTAAGTTCTCAGGTGATTCAGATGCTACTTGTCCATGGACTCACTTTAAGTAGAAAACATTTTAAGTTGCTTTCCTAATTCTGTCTGATCATAAAAACCACAAGGTGACTGGTAAAAATACAGATTCTCATTGGGTAGGGTTGGAAAATGAACTCTTAGGAGTTATCCTTGATCCTAAAATAAAAGCATCTGATTGTCCTGCAGGAAACCAACCGGGTCAACTCCAAAATTTTAAACATCCTTAACCTAATGCCTAATTATCATCATTTCACCAATACCCATCACTCACCTAAATCCTCACAATTTCAGAATCCAGCCCGTCAGTTAGAACTCTTATTCTTTTGCAGATGACCAGATAACGTAGCAGTAATCAAAAACAATTAATTTTTAATAGCTGTTATTTTTTTCACTTTATATATTCTTTACCCTCTATCTTCTTTTTTTTTGAAATGGAGTCTCCCTCTGCTGCCCAAGCTGGAGTGTAGTGGCGCAAATCTCAACTCACTGCAACCTCCACCTCCTGGGTTCAAGCAATTCTCTTGCCTCAGCCTCCTGAGTAGCTGGGATTACAGGTGCACGCCACTATACCCAGCTAATTTTTTTATTTTTTGTAGAGACAGGGTTTCACCATGTTGGCCAGGCTGGTCTTGAACTCCTGACCTCAAGTGATCCACCAGCCTCGGCCTCCTGAAGTGCTGGGATTACGGGCACGAGCCACCATGTCCAGCCCCTCTATCTTTATTAAATGAAAAGTTGGAAGGGGCCTTATAAATCTTCTTCATTATAGATTAGGAAATTGAAACTAGAGCGGCCAACTAACTTGCTCAAGATCACGGAGCCGTCATAAGGTCTTTGGTTTTCCAGTTAGGAGGCTTCACTCCTGAGGTTCTTTAGAACTCATAATGTAAGGGTATTGCCAGCTCTCCATTTCCTCTCAACCTTTGACATATCTAGCAAACTACTCATTCCAATTAGATGATGGAGGGAAATCACACACACCTGCTAAAGAATTTTTTAAGATGCCATAAAAGCATTAACCACCAGTTTTAAAATATGCTCCCAAAAATGAATGGCTATGACTCAAATTTTCATGGAAATTTTCAAATGGCTACAATCTACATGAATCTAATCCTCAAATCGACCCTCTGCTGAGAGTTAAAGCTGCGTGCCTGTACAAGCTTTTCCCTAGAAATTTAAACATGGCTGCTGACAATGACAAGGAAAGAAAGAAAATCCAACTTAGCAAAGTCTTTAAGGAACATATTTCCTTACCTTTCTTTGAAGACCTGAAGTCCTCGAACCAATCCTTCCAGACACAGGAGATCATATCTATTGGCAGGGACGTCAATTTTGTAAAGAACAACATCAGAGGCTCCTGCTGCCTTTACATTACCTTGTTCTTTACTTATTATTTCCTTCTCAGATGTCTAAAACAAGCCAAAAAGTAATGATAAAATTAAATAATTTAAATTCTCTTTAAAAAGTAAAAGTTGTCAGCCCTATAAGGCAGTAACTACATTATACATATTTTCTACAAGAACACGGGATTTTTATATCCATGACAAAAACAACATGACAATATTAAGTGTTATAATCGTAGCAGACAGAAAAATACTTCAACTTTAACTGAGTTCGGGTATCTGGCATCCTCAATCTCCCCAGAACAGCACAAATCCATCTAAACAAAGGTCCACAAGCAATGGCCCGCTGGCCAAATCATACCTGATACTTGATAAAGATTTACTGGAACACAGACAGACCCATTCGTTTACCTATTACCTACTGCAACTTACACACTGCAATAGCTGAGTTGAAACAGAGACTATAGAGCCTACAAAGCCTAAAATATTTACTATCTGGCCCTTTACAGAAAAAGTTTTCCCATCTCAAGCTAAAGAAAATGAAAACACCACCAAGTACATAAAGTAACAACAAAAGTGTCAAAGGGGTAAAAGAAAGATGATTCACTAAATAAAAGAAACACACCTTCTTATAGGATGACTCTAAAACTGAAATCCTCTGGGCACCCAAGTCCACATGGCAATGAGAGGGACAGTGTAAAAACAAAAAACACTCAGAGACCATCGGACGCTGGTGAAAATTAAAAGGGATAATAGGTGCAATGGGAAGCAAACTAGTGACAGTAAAGGGATAGTGAGGCAGAATTAAGGCAACCAAGAGGGAGATGACGGAAGAAACACCACTAGAATCACGGTGAATGCAGTGGTAAAGAGTTTAGAATATTTCAACCACCACACTACAGCAGAGCAACAGACTGTCTTAAACATAACCACTGCAGAGAAGTTATACTCTATTCCTTATGTTTACTACAGCAGGGAACTGTAAATAGATTTAAGAAATTTTCACTCGAAATGATTAAAAGTTATATTCCAATTGTTAATGTTACCTTTTAATTATTTGGAAACTCCACTTAACCCGAATTCCTACTATTTCCACCAACAACCTGCTAAAATAACTGATGGATTTCTATAAAAATATGTAATGATTTTTGTTTTACATGATGCCCTCCCACTGGCACAATATAAGTAGTTCAAATTTTTGACCAAATTAAGAATTATATCCACATTTGCACAGTATACAGAGGAATTCACTTCTGGCCACTGAGTATTATGTGCCAAAGTCCCACCCAAGGAACCACAGGAGTCTATGCAATGCTGGGGCTGTGTAAGGTGGTGCTGGGCTACAAAAAACATCTACCTTGGGCATCTCGAACTTAGAAGGCAAATTTTTAAAATTAGGGAAAATGAAAAATAAGAGAATGAAGAGGAGGAGGAAGGAGCAAAAAGGGGGAAAAGAAAAGAAGGGGAAGAGGCAAAAAGAGGAGAGGAAGAATTCGAGTTTAAACAACGTTCAATCAAAGGGGTTAATAAAATTACTGTTTAAATAGTGAAGAAAGCTGCGTCACCTCCCAGGACATGGCAGATCTCAGAAGGGACCTCTATACAGAGAAGATAATACAATAACCAGAAAAATGAAGGCATCTGCATTCATTTTTCAGCAGCACCCCCTTATCCACAGGGGATATGTTACAAGCTCCCCAGTGGATGCCTGAAACCTTGGAGAGGACTAAACGTTACATATACCATGTTTCTTCCTATACATATATACCTATGAGAAAGTTTAATTTATAAATTAGGCACAGTAAGAGATTAACAACTAATAATAAAATAGAACAATTAAAATAATATACTATAATAAGAGTTATGTGAATGCAGTCTCTGTCTCAGAATTTCTTATTGTACTATACTCACCTATTTTCAAACCACAGTTTGCTGCAGGTAACTAAAACTGTGGGTAAGGAGGAACTGCTGTAAAAAAAGATCTAACTCCTTTGCAAAAAAAAAAAAGACACAGAAGCTTACATCTTCTTTCAGTTTCAGCATCTCAACTCATAAAATGACCATATGTAAAGACTGGATTTGTCAGTGCTACATGACAAAAATCTTACAGAAATTAAAAACCACATAAATTTCAGAGTCAAAAAAGAAAACCATAAAGATCATATAATCCAAACCTCTTATTTCACAAGTGAAAAGGAGGCCCAGAGAGACTCGTCTGGACTGTAGGGTCCAGACAGGCAAAGTAATTATCCACAGTTACACAGCTAGTAAATGTTAGAACTAGAACTCAAATGATCTAACATCCAGTCCAACACTCCTAGATATCACATAACTTCACACATAATTCTGAGGTGTAATAAAATTACTAATAGTAACTTATAAACTACAGAAATCTCAGCCAATTTCTCAAGTATACAAATATTGATTAGTATAAAGATGATCTTTCTGTAACATTAGTAAGGCAGCAGGAAAAATAAGGTAAGACAATGTACAATTTTTTAGCCTGAAGATTTTTTAACTTTACACCTAAGGTAGTGTTATGAAAACACTGAATAGGTGAAGATAGAAGGCTTAGGAAAAAAATAACACTAACTACCAGAAAAGTATTTTTTAAATTAAAGTATGTCCTTAATAGATAATCACTGTTAACAATATTAAAATGTGTAGCCCAGACTTAATTTTTAAAAATATTTTAATCATTATACAATCAAAAGTCAAAGAAAATGCTTCCTCATTTTTATAAGCAAGACCCTAAAAACTATGAGCTCATTTTACAAGATCAGTGTATAGTAATGCATTAGTGCTGGTTGAAGAGGCACGGAGGAAGGCAATGGGGGCAGAGGAGGTGAAGGAGGAGGCGCTAGAGGAGAAGGAGGCAGGGCAACTCTGGCTGAAGCAACATTTCTACTGCTTCTTGGTCCCTTTCTGTGATTAATTTGTCAAAGAAGGGAGCTTACTTTCATACTTGGGTTATCTAACACATTCTCAATTTCCACAGCATGAGTCTGATAACAAGGTGATTGTAGATGGAATAAGGCATGAACCCCTTTTGAGATTTTAGTCAAAGCAACAGACAGAACTGGAGCTTAGCCCTCTGAACACAGAAATCACGGCCCCCAAATGTTATCATCTTAGTCTATCAGTAACAAAGATTAAATATAGCACACCCCTGAAAAATAAGCTTATGCACACAATCTTTGAAAAATAGACAATATCCAATACATACAATTTCATCAAGTTCCAGACCAAATTCAAAACATAGTTCGTCAAATTCTTCGTCAGCTAGGAAAATAAAAAAGGAGATGGTTAATTTTACTTCGTTCGGCATAAGTGAAAACTACATACAAATTGCATTTTCTTATTATTAATTGCTTTACACCAACCATACTACTAAATATCAGGCATCATGTTCATCATTTAAAAACAAACAGGCCAGTTGCGGTGGCTCACACCTATAATCCCAGCACTTTGGGAGGCTGATGTGGGTGAATCACCTGAGGTCAGGAGTTTGAAACCAGCCTGGCCAACATGGTGAAACCCTGTCTCTACTAAAAATACAAAATTAGTCAGGCATGGTGGCACATGCCTGTAATCCCAGCTACTTGGGAGGCTGAGGCAGGAGAATCGCTTGAACCTGGGAGGCAGAGGTTGCAGCGAGCCAAGATCATGCCATTGCACTCCAGCCTGGGCGACAAGAGCGAAACTCTGTACCAAAAAATTAAAAAAAAAAAAAAGGCTGGGCCAAAAAAGTTTAAGATAAAAAAAGAAAAAACAATTAAAGGCTTGATTAACCTATGCTAATATCAACTGTAGTTTAGGTTACCTGCACTGGGAAGTTTGCATATACATAGAAAAAAAAAAAAAAACCCCCCTGTTAAGTAGAGATCAGATATAAAGCAGGCTCCAAATCACAGATCTCACACAACAGAATGTCACGTAAGTCCTATCATGTAAACTGGTCTGAGGCAGCCTGACACTTTCGGCTTTGAAGACAAGTCAATCAGTTTGAATTCTATACCACTTATTAGATCTGAGAGCTTGGCACCTTATGTAAACTTTCTTGGTATCTCGTGTCAACATTACAGCTGCGTCATCTATAAGATGGTATTTCACAGCCATTATGGCATGGTACTATTGGAAAGATTTAAATGATAATGCATAAAATGGACCTGGCATAGTACCCTGAGACATAGTGAGTCTACAATAATTAATAGTTTATGAGCAATAAATAAAATAAGTTCTCTTCCTTATTTTAATATTATATCCTACTGTTTAGCTTTTCAGGGTTCTCATATTACCAAAAATTGAACACAAAACATCATTAGCAGCGCATTCTAGTGAACTGGTCTTAAGATTCCTGATTCAGACACTAAATTTCAATTTAACATCTATGTACTGAGTACCCACCTTATACCAGGCACTGTACTAGGTACCAGGGTTACAAAGATAAATAAAACACAATTCCTGCCTTAACTACTACTTCATCTGGTAAAGAAGCCAGATGTGTAAATAAATATGACTATGTTAAGTACAAGGTACAGGGCTGGCACAAAAGAAGTAATCAGTTCCACTTATGGTCAGCTAAACTTTCACAGAAAGGATGAGTTCATCAGGCAGAGATCATGGGGAGTGAAATAGCATGGCAAATTTGGAAACTCTTAAGTAGTTCAACAGTGGATGAAACATAAAGTTCATACCAGGAGAAGATATGATAGAACAAGGAGAAAGAGGTCAACTAACGATTTGCCCTCTTTCTTACAGACAGGCAATGGAGAATTATACTGAAGGGATTCTTCAGCTGGGCAAAATCATGATTATCTGCATTCTAAAGACTGCTCGCAGAGTAAGAGGATGGATTGGAGCAGGGAGTCTACTGCAATAGTACAGATGCGATATAGTGAAGGCTTCATTTAAAGCAGCACCAGCAAGAATGAGGAAGAAGGGATTAATATGAAAAACATTAAGGACGTGGAATGTAAAAGGCTCAATGGCCAAATGATGGGAGGTAGGAATAGGGAGTGTGTAGAAGGAGTCTAGGATGACTCCTGGATCTCTGGTTTGGAGGAAAAAGTGGGTGGGGCTATCATTAACTAGGGCAGGTAGTAACAGGTACCCGGCCTCCAAGACAGCCCGTTCCATGATCCCAGCCTCCTTGTATTCATGCTCTTGTGTGAACTGAGGTCTGGAGCAATCACATGAGTGAGTTTGGAAGCAGATTCTCCAGCCCAGTCAAGCCTTGAAATGACAGCAAACCCAGCTGATAGCTAGATTGCAACATGGTGAGACCCAAAGCCAAACCACCTACCTAAGCTACTCCCTGATTCCTGTCTCTCAGAAATTTCGTAAAATAATAAAGGCTTGTTTTACACTCCTAAGTACTGCGGTAATTTGCTACACAGCAACAGACTACTAATACTTTGGATTAATTTGTTATATAGCAATAGATTACTAATACAGACTTTAGTCCCTGGAAATGGGGTACTGCCGTAACAAAAATGAAAAGCATGAGAATGGCTTTGGAACCAAGCGGTGGGCTTTGAGGAGTGTAAATGAAAACCTAAAGAAAGAAGCCTCATAGTCTCTGGTAAGGATACAAGTGAGGATATGGAGGAAAGTGAGGTACTGTTATCAGAAAGTGGAAGAAAAGGAATCCTGGTTAAGCAGAGGCAGAAGGCTTAGCGACACCATTCCCTGCAGTTATGTGGACTGTAAAAAGTCAATGGGGTGATGTAACTAAGAAGATTTCCAACCAGTGTGCAAAGTGCCACCTGGGTTTTTCTTGTGCTTATGTGAAAAAAAGAGATAAGCTAAAAGAAAGGCTGTTAAACAAAAATAAGCCAGGATGTTGGGGATTTTAAAAATTCTCATCTTCTCCAGATGTGAAACAACGCTAAAATTGAGGAAAGACCAAAATCCAAGGCACTGCCAGGAAAATATGGTCCAAAGATAAAATCAAGGGTATGACCGTAAAATCTTAAGACCCAGAAAGATCAAAGGCGCTAATCATTCCAACAAAGGGTGCTATAAAAAAGTATAAAGAATGTACCTCATAAATCCAATTAATCACATAATAGGGCTTAATTAAGAGTACTGTTATCAGCTGAAACTCAATATATTTCAGAGATGTGTAGGTGGTGTGGCTTTTGACTAATAAAATGGAAGCCAGTAACATGCACCAAAGACCCTCAAAGTTTTTAGAAGAAATACATATGCAGAAGCATTGCCAGCTAGAATTGAAAGGGATAGAAATAGAATAAAATGAAGTCTTTGAACTCTCAAAATTCTATTAGCAGTAAGTAGACTGAGAAAACCAACCAGCTGTGAAGCACATGCTTTCTAGGGATCACTCAGAGGGGTGGAAACCAAGAGCCTAGAGGGCAGGGCAGACAGCCATGGAGAATTATCCCAGGCCTTCAGACCTAATCAAGAACATCCAACATTTGCCACTTAATTTCAGAATTGCCATGGACCAGTGACTCCTTTGTGTCTCCCATTTCCGCCCCTTTGAAGAAGAAGGGCTACAGGAGTTATCCTATGCCCATCCCGCCATTGTGTGTTAGGTGTATGTGGGGCAGATAACTGGTCTCTCGAGTCTCTCAGGCCAAGAGTGTACTAAAGAAGCTACACTGAAGGAACTACACCCAAGCCGCCACATCCACATATGGTCCTGATTTAGATGATGAGATTCTAGATTCTGAGCTGCTGCTGTAATGGGATGGCACTTCTGAGGGCTTTGGGAAGGGGTGAGTATATTTTCATATGGGAGGAACCTGAATCAGTGGAGGTTAGAGGGGGAACGGTGGTAGTCAGCCTCCAAGATGGCATCCAATAATACCGGCCTCCTGGTATTCACACCCTTCCACGTTGTGTTAGGATTGGTCTGTGACCAAGAGAATATGAGAAGGGCTAGTATATCACTTCTGAGTTGTTATTGAAAACAGGCGTCTATCCTGAGCACTCTCTCGGACCTCTCCATCTGGGGCAAACAAGCTAACATGTTCTAAGTAGTCCTACGGAGAGGATAAGGTGGGAGGAACTAAAGCCTCTGGCCAAAAGTCAGCAAGGAACTGAGGTTTGCCAACAACCACTTGAATGAACCTGAAAGCAGTTTCTCCAGACTCAGGCCTTGACATGACTACGGATCTGGCAAATACCTTGACTGTAATCTGGTAACAGATCCAGAGCAAAAACCACCCAGCTAAGTCAGTACCCAATTCCTGACCCTCAGAAACTATGTAACAAATGAGAGCTGCTTTAAGATGCTAAACTTTGGGATAATTTAGTACGTAGTAATAGATAACTAAATGGTACAGAACTATTAAAATATGCTGAATCCTAATTATCCTATGTTTTATTCCTTTCAGGAATAATAAAACCCTACATAAAAAACCCTGTATTTCATGAGTTTCGATACAAAGAAAAATCAACAATAAAATCGTGATTAGTAATTTCCTCTAACAAAATGACACATCAAGTAACCATACCTTAGGGGTGTATATGATACACACAGAAGGCTCTGTCACTACTGCCAGCTATTACACCACGCCAGAACAGGACTATAATTGAAGAGCAATGATAATAAATCAGTTAACAAGAAAAGGAGTGGCAAGAGGAAACCATCTGTACAGAAAGGTAAAAAGGTAGACTAAGGAGACAAAACTGCTCCAAAGGAGTCAGACGAGCAAAATAACCAAAATGGCAAACAGCTTGAAAGAGAAATATCCTTGCTAAGCAAAGAGGAGGTAAAAAGGAAGGTGGGGACTGGTAGAAACAATGGAATTACAAATAGAAAGCAACACTTGGAGGGACTAAAGAGAGAGAATGTAGATTCTAAACGTGTAAATGAGACATTATCTGAAAATAAGAAAAAAAGAGGAAGACTGGGGAAAAAAAAAGGTAAGAAACAAGATGTATCCATACTACTTGGAAACCACATGCTTTGCTGAACATGCTTTTCCAGTTGTGACCTCAACCCAGTTTCAAGAAAGAACACAATAAAGGTAAACTAATGAGGAGTATCATTTCTGACCTCTCGAAAGCACATCTCAAAAAATAACATCAATCCTTCTGACCGAATTTTTTTTTTTTTTTTTCTGAGACAGGGTCTCACTTTGTGGCCAGGGCTAGAATGCAGTGGCTTGATCACTCACTACTTGATTCAAGTGATCCTCCGGCCACAGCCTCCCCGAGTAGCTGGGACTACAGGTATATACCACCACACCCAGCTACTTTTTGTAGAGACAGGGTTTTGCCGTGTTGCCCAGTCTGGTCTCCAACTCCTGAGCTCAAGCAATCTGCCCACCTCGTCCTCCCAAAGTGCCGTGATTACAAGCATCAGCCATGTACCTGGTCCTTAAAAGATTCAGTACCTAACAAACACGTATTTGTGAAAAAAATCAATCTTAATTGATCACTGACAATATAAAAAAAAAAAAAGGGAAGGGGACAGAGTATGTTGAAACATCAGATGACAGTAAGTAGGTTATAAATCTCACCATTTTAAAAAATCTGGATTATTTCTTACCTCCCTAGAAACGGAGACTGGGATGGGAACTGATTATAGAGGTTTTGAACAAATATTTGCCACCTACCATCTTGGGCAATTCAGGTATAGAGATAGAGCATTCCTAATTCAAAAATCTGAAATCTGACATGCTCCAAAACCCAAAACCTTAAAGTGTAGACAGGATGCCACAAGTGGAAAATTCCACACCTGACTCCATGTGACTTGTCAAAAACATAGCCAAAACCTTGTTTCATGCAAAAAAAGTTATTTAAAGTATTCCATAAAATTAACTTCAGGCTATGCATATAAGGTGTATATGAAATACAAATCAATTTCATGTTTAGACTTGGGTCCCACCCCCAAAATATCTCATTATGTACATGCAAATATCCCAAAATCCAAAATCCAAGACGCTTCTGGTCTCAAGCATTTTGGATCAGGAATTAGCAACCTGTACCACATCCCATTAGTGAGAATATAGTTTAGAAGGTCAGGTAAGAAATATAAATAAGCTCATTATAAAATAAAGTGATTAGGCGATTAGAGACAAGTACAAAGGGTAAGAGTAATACAATACCCTTGTATTTCCTTTACTTTCAGGGACTTATGGCAGAACTTACGAAGAATATCACATTGAGAATAGGTACTATCTAAAAGTACACGGTTAGGAAATATTTTTAAAAGCCAGTTTTATTTTCACAGTAACAGTAATATCTTATTCTGGGAAGCGGTGGCTGTCATTAAACCAGTTAGGCCTTTGTTATCACACTGAGCCCTAAAAACAAAAAAACAGCTCTCACAAACCAGTTGGTACAGTCTTTATACAAGCTAAAAATTATGGGGTGGGGGCCGCGCGCGGTGGCTCAAGCCTGTAATCTCAGCATTTTCGGAATCCGCGGCTGGCGGATCACGAGGTCAGGAGTTCAAGACTAGCCTGGCCAAGATGGTGAAACCCGGTCTCTCTAAAAATACAAAAAAAAATTAGCGGGCGTGATGGCGGACGCCTGTAATCCCAGCTACTCGGGAAGCTGAGGCAGAGAATTGCTTGAACCGGGTGGCGGAGGTTGCAGTCAGCCGAGATAGTGCCACTGCACTCCAGCCTGGGCGACAGATCGAAACTCCTTCTCAAAAAAAAAAAAAAAAAAAAAAAAAAAAGGTGGGCGACTGCTACAGCTGTGAGGTAACTGATAACTGCATTTAATATCTCCCTCCTTTTTTCAATGGTTGTGTTTTTAGAACTGAATAAAAGATGAAATGTAGAATGAAGTCTACGCCCACTGAATACTCCTTATCCAGGTCTCAGATCAAATGTTACCACCCTATCTAAAGTTGTTCTTGGCACAACACCTTTTCTTTCCTTGATGGCATTTAACAGTATCCGAAATCATTTTATTAATGTGCTGGTTAATTGTCTGCCTCCATCAGACAGAACGTGGACCTGACGTGTCATGTGCACAGCCCTAGTCCTAAGCTCTTCGAACAGTGCCTGATACATAAGAGGCGCTCAGGAAACATTAATAAGACGAAGACAGATGGAATGCCTTTCTCCATCCCGCTGCACAACTCTCTCCTCCTACCCCCTTATAAACTGAGTCCCCACAGCGCTCTTATTGCAATGAACTGGCTACGCTCGGGATACAACCCCGGGTTTCCTTCCTGTACTATCCCCTGGCTTGGATGTCGGTGCCAGGCACGCTGTAGGCACTCGATGGCAGATCACTGAATGAATGCCACGGCGAGCCGGGCACGAGCAGTGGCACCGCTGCGATGCCGGTTCCGAGGCTACCACAGCCCAGTCGGACCGCCACCATCATCGGCCCTCCAGTATAAACCCCGGCCTTCCGGGGCCAAAACCTTCAGGAAGGCATGAATGTCACCACAATGCCCTTTGGGAGGGAGGCCCAGCCTCCAAGAAGAGGCGTAGGGCCCAATGTATAGGACCGGCACTCACTGTAGGTGCGGCCCAGGGCTTGGAAGAGCAGATCACGCTTCACGCTGACAGTCGGCATGGCGAGTCGAACTCACTGCGCCTGCGCGGCGAGCTGACCCGGGCTTCCCTAGCGAGGCGCGTAGGACCCGCCTCTTCTTGTGCGAGCTGTCTTGAATATCGCCATTCTGCTGCCAACAGTTCCAGCTCTTATTTTAACCTAAAAACACTCATCTTGCCATTATCTCGCTGACTAAATGTATCTTCATGGGACTGATAGCTTAAAAACCTGTAAGAGACATATAATTTGATAGAACTGGCCAGGATTTGTCAGGCATTGTAATGTACTGTCCCTGAAGTCCCGGATGCTGCCAGCGCGCTAAGGGCAGGGGGGAGAGAGGGGCGCGTCAGGGAGGGGGCGGGGCCTCCGCGTGGGAAATCTTGCCTGGAGGTGGTGGGAAGGCAAGAGGAGACGGTTCAAGGCTTCCTGCAGAGAAAGGTGTGCAACTCCTGGCGGCGGGAGAGGGGCTGTTAACAGACCTCAGTTTTTACTTCATTCTTTAATCTCTCCTATACTCATATAAGTGATATACCTGTGCTTCTTTTGAACTTTACGGCAGCCCTATAAGGGAGTCATTGTAAGAGACCTCATTTTAGTCTATTTGCTCAATGCTCTCTGCTATCAGTGGTCTGTGCTCAGTCTTCCTCCTTAAAACAACCCTGAGTGTAGTAGGCTGAATAACGGCCCCCAGTAGTATCAGACCCTAATCCCTGCAACCTCTAAATGTAACTTTATATAGAAACAGCGCCTTTGCAGATTAAGGATTTTGAGATGAAGATTATTATCCTGGATTCTGAAGACGGACCCTGAATGGAATCACAGTATCCTCATAAAAACATAAAACGGAGGTAGAGAGAGACGATGTAGCCACAGTGGCAGCCACAACCCAAGGATGCCAGCAGCCACCAGAAACAAAGAGACAAGCACACTCTGAGAGTGAGTGGGTGGAGGAGTGGGGAGCATCAAGAATAGCTAATAGATGCTGGGCTTAATACTTAGGTGATCGGATGATCTGTGCAGCAAACCACCATGGCATACGTTTACCTATGTAACAAACCTTCACATCCTGCACATGTACCCCTGAAATAAACAGAGACAAGGACAGATTCACGCCCAGCCTATGGGGCAGCCGTGTAATACATGCTGGTTTGGGCCCAGTGAAACTGATTTTGGGTTTCTGGCCTCCAGAACTCTGAGAGCATAAATTTTTGGTTTAAGTTAGCAAGTTTGTGGTAATTTGTTTCAGCAGCCAAGGGAAACTAATATATCAAGATAGGTACCATTATCCCTGTTTTACAAGTAATGAAACTAAGGCACAACCTGGCAGTTCCAGGGGGAGCCTTGCCCTAATCCTTTCTTTTTTTTTTTTTTTTTTTTTTTGTTTGTTTGTTTGTTTGTTTTGAGACGGAGTCTCGCTCTGTCGCCCAGGCTGGAGTGCAGTGGCGCAATCTCGGCTCACTGCAAGCTCCGCCTCCCGGGTTCACGCCATTCTCCTGCCTCAGCCTCCCGAGTAGCTGGGACTACAGGCGCCCGCCACTGCGCCCGGCTAATTTTTTCTATTTTTAGTAGAGACGGGGTTTCACCATGATCTCGATCTCCTGACCTTTGTGATCCGCCCGCCTCGGCCTCCCAAAGTGCTGGGATTACAGGCGTGAGCCACCGCGCCCGGCCATACTGTACAGTGAGTGAGGGCTTCTTCCAAGGTCCTTCACATGAGGGGACAAAAGCTGAGCCAGATGTAGGACACCCTAACTACTAATCAAGCAGTTTTTCACTACACAGTATTAGCTGCCTTCCATGGGAAGGCAGTCCCTTCCCAATGACCAACATAAGAGATTGGCAACACCCCATAAATGGCAAACATCCCCAATGCAAAATACAGTTTTCCACCTAAAATTGGTGCTTCATGCTCAATTAATAAGCAAAGGACTAGCGCCAGGCACGATGGCTCACACTTGTAATCCCAACACTTTGGGAGGCTGAAGTGGGCAGATCACTTGAGGTCAAGAGTTCGAAACCAGCCTGGCCAACATGATAAAACCCCATCTCTACTAAAATTACAAAAATTAGCTGGGTGTGGTAGCAGGCACTTGTAATCCCAGCTACTGGGGAGACTGAGGACTGAGAATCACTTTAACCCAGGAGGCAGAGGTTGCAGTGAGCCAAGATCATGCCACTACACTCCAGCCTGGGTGACAGAGCAAGACTCTGTCTCAAAAACAATAACAACAACAACAAAATAATAATAATAAATAACCAAAGGTCTTCCTGCTGACCTGCTCTGCTTTGGGTACTCCAAAGTGTGCCTCTGAACCTCAGTTTCCTCATCTACAAAATAGGGATAATAATATACAACTTAGAGAATTATTATGTCTCATACCTATAATTCCAGCACTTTGGGAGGTAGAGGCTGAAGGATTACTTGAGCCCAGGATTTCAAAACCAGCCTGGGCAACAGAGTTGGACCCCGTATCTAAACAAAAAGAAAGATTAGCCAGGCATGGTGGCACACACCTATGATCCCTTCTACGCAGATCACTTGAGCCCGGGAGGTCGAGGCTGCGGTGAGCTGTGATCGTGCCACAGCACTCCAGCCTGGGTAACCAAGTGAGACCTTGTCTTAAAAACTAAAAAAGAATTATTGTAAGAATTTGAAATAATATTCATAAATAACTAGTATAGTTCTACCGTGTTAGAGGTCCTGGAAATAGGGCAACTGTCATTATTATTTTTAATCCTCCTAGTTAGTTTTCTGCTAGTCTCAGACCACTAACGGGCATTCCGTTCCCATCTCTCACATCCCCCAACTGACCCATCCTACTTTTTATCATTGCACATGTTACAGGTACTCTGTCCCTTCTCTGTGAGAAGCTAAACTGTTAGAAGATTCTAATGGAAAAGAGGAAACTAGGCCACTAGGGCTCATCGCAAATGGCATTAGCTAACTGAAAGGAAAGGTACATGGAAAATGATGAGATCATATATCAAAAAATGTAGGTGCATGCTTCTTTCATCTAATTTTGGGGCCAGACCGAAAGCAGGAATGAGGAGGCAGCATTTCCTAGGAATGAAAAACAAGCTGGACAAAAGACATAAAAAACTCTCAGCTTAGCAGAAATTAAGGAGATGCAAATTAAAATTATAAGGACATACATGTTTATACCTACGAGACTGGTAGAAATCTTAAAGTCTGAAAAAAATCATGTCTTGGCAAGAATTTTGGAGTATAACTTGATATAACCTCTTTGGAAAATATGGCCTTACCTAGAAAAATGGGGCATGTCCATATCCTACTACCCAGCAATTGCACTTCTATGAATATTCCCCAGAGAAACTCTTACCCATGTGCACCAGAAGACTCAAATAAGAATTTTCATGGTTACATTGTTCTTTGTAACAGAAAGCTAGAAACAACCCAATGTTTGTCAATACTAGAATGGGTAGACAGTTATGATAAATTTATACAGTGAAGCACCATACAGCTGTGTAAACAAATGAACTACACCTGCGTGTATCAACCTGGATAAATCCTGCATTGTAATTTTGAGGGAAAAATGTAAATCACAGAAGAATATGTACTGTATGATGTCATTACTATAAACACTAAAAACCAGGCTGACCTCAAGAGTATATTGTTAGTCATACATAAATAGAATGGTAAGCCTGTAATAAAAAGCAGAGGATGACAAAGTATGAGACCAGTTAGTTCTGAGTAAGATGGAAGGACTGCAGTCTGGAGTGTTAGAATACCTGTATTACTCAGAATCCTCCAGATAAATAAATAGGAAATAGGTAGATAGATATTTATTATAAAGTATAGTCTCACACCATTATGGAAACTGAGAAGTCCCACAGTCTACCATCTGCAAGCTGGAGACCCATGGAAATCAGGGAAGTAGTTTGAAGCCCTGAGAGCTAAAGAGGTGGTTGTGTAGACGCTGTCTCAACACCTGAAACCAGGAGAACTGAGAACAGGGAAAGATCTATGGCCCAGCTCAAGTAGTCAGACAGAGAGTGAACTCAGCCTTCCTCCCCCTTTTTATTCTCTTCAGGCCCACCATGGATTGGATAATACCTACCCACATTGGGGTGGGCCATTTGCTTTACTCAGTCGGTCCATTCAAATGCTAATCTTGGCTGGGTGCTGTGGCTCAGGCCTGTAATCCCAACACTTCGGGAGGCTGAGGCAGGCAGATCACTTGAGGTCAGAAGTTTGAGACCAACCTGGCTAACATAGTAAAACTCCATCTCTACTAAAATTACAAAAATTAGCCGGGCATGGTGACGCACACCTGTAGTCCCAGCTACTTGGGAGGCTGAAGTAGAGGAATCACTTAACCCAGGAGGCAGAGGCTGCAGTGAGCCAAGGTTGCATCACTGCACTCCAGCATGGGCAACAGAGCAAGACTCCATCTCAAAAAAATAAAAACAAACCCCAATCTCTTCCAGGAACACCCTCACACACCCCGAAATAATGTTTAACCAGCTACCTGGGTACCCATTAGCCCAGTCAAGTTGGTACATAAAATTAACCATCACAATACTCAAAAGGGTTTCAAAAATATTAGTAATGTTCTGTTTTATCTGGTATACCTTTGTGGATGTATTTTAAGCAAGTAAAGGTGAAGGTGGGAAACAACAGATGAGTGTGGCACTCTATTTCAGGGGTGGGGAGACGTGAATGCTGGGTGGCAGATAGCTGAGCAGAAACACAATAGAAGTACTTGACACTTGATTTCGCTTTAAGGTGCTCTTTTTCCTCCATAAAGGGCTTTCTTTTTTTTTCTTTTGAGATGGAGTTTCGCTCGTAGCCCAGGCTGGAGTGCAATGGCCCATTTTGGCTCACTGCAACCTCCACCTCCTGGGTTCAAGCAATTCTCCTGCCTCAGCCTCCTGAGTAGCTGGGATTACAGGCGCCTGCCACCATGCCCAACTAATTTTTGTATTTTTAGTGGAGATGGGGTTTTACCATGTTGGCCAGACTGGTCTCGAACTCCTGACCTCAGGTAAATCACCTGCCTTGGCCTCCCAAAGTGCTAGGATTACAGGTGTGAGCCACCATGCCCGACCCGGATAAAGGGCTTTTAAAAAACTTTTGTCTAATTTATTATTCTTTTCCTTTATAGGTTATGGGGTTTAGGTTATGTTTTAAATGGTCTTTCTTAATCCCAAGATTTTTTTTTTTTAAGTTTGTTTCTCAGAGTACTTGAATAGGTTTTTATTTTTCTTTTGCATTTAAATCTCAGATCTTTCTGAAATTTGTTTTGGTTTTGGAGTGAGTGAATGAACCAGCTTTATTTTTGTTTTTAAACAATTCAGTTAATACTTTATTTATTAAATAAGCTTCTTTTTACCCATGGATTTGAAATATGTTCTTTATTAAATTTCCATATATATCTCTATATGTTTAGGTTTATTCCTGAACTATCTGTTCCATT